TTTGATTTTACAATCAGTTCCCTTCTACACGGACATGATTTTACAATCAGTTCCCTCATACCAGACATGATTTTACAATCAGTTCCCTCCTAATAGACATGATTTTACAATCAGTTCCCTCCTACCAGACATGATTTTACAATCAGTTCCCTTCTACACAGACATGATTTTACAATCAGTTCCCTCCTAATAGACATAATTTTACAATCAGTTCCCTCCTAATAGACATGATTTTACAATCAGTTCCCTCCTACCAGACATGATTTTACAATCAGTTCCCTTCTACACAGACATGATTTTACAATCAGTTCCCTCATACCAGACATGATTTTACAATCAGTTCCCTTCTACACAGACATGATTTTACAATCAGTTCCCTTCTACACAGACATGATTTTACAATCAGTTCCCTCATACCAGGCATGATTTTACAATCAGTTCCCTCCTACCCAGACATGATTTTACAATCAGTTCCCTCCTAATAGACATGATTTTACAATCAGTTCCCTTCTACACAGACATGATTTTACAATCAGTTCCCTTCTACACAGACATGATTTTACAATCAGTTCCCTCATACCAGACATGATTTTACAATCAGTTCCCTCCTAATAGACATGATTTTACAATCAGTTCCCTCCTAATAGACATGATTTTACAATCAGTTCCCTCCTACACAGACATGATTTTACAATCAGTTCCCTCCTACCCAGACATGATTTTACAATCAGTTCCCTCCTAACAAACATGATTTTACAATCAGTTCCCTCCTACCCAGACATGATTATACAATTAGTTCCCAACTACCCAGACATGATTTTACAATCATTTCCCTCCTAATAGACATGATTTTACAATCAGTTCCCAACTACCCAGATTTGATTTTACAATCAGTTCCCTTCTACACGGACATGATTTTACAATCAGTTCCCTCATACCAGACATGATTTTACAATCAGTTCCCTCCTAATAGACATGATTTTACAATCAGTTCCCTCCTACCAGACATGATTTTACAATCAGTTCCCTTCTACACAGACATGATTTTACAATCAGTTCCCTCATACCAGACATGATTTTACAATCAGTTCCCTCCTAATAGACATGATTTTACAATCAGTTCCCTCCTAACAGACATGATTTTACAATGAGCTCCCTCCTAACAGACATGATTTTACAATCAGTTCCCTCCTACCCAGACATGATTTTACAATCAGTTCCCTCCTAACAGACATGATTTTACAATCAGTTCCCTCCTAATAGACATGATTTTACAATCAGTTCCCTTCTACCCAGACATGATTTTACAATCAGTTCCCTCCTAACAGACATGATTTTACAATCAGCTCCCTCCTAACAGACATCATTTTACAATTAGTTCCCTTCTACCCAGACATGATTTTACAATCAGTTCCCTCATTCCAGACATGATTTTACAATCAGTTCCCTTCTACACAGACATGATTTTACAATCAGTTCCCTCATACCAGACATGATTTTACAATCAGTTCCCTCCTAATAGACATGATTTTACAATCAGTTCCCTCATACCAGACATGATTTTACAATCAGTTCCCTTCTACACAGACATGATTTTACAATCAGTTCCCTCCAAATAGACATGATTTTACAATCAGTTCCCAACTACCCAGACATGATTTTACAATCAGTTCCCAACTACCCAGACATGATTTTACAATCAGTTCCCTCCTAACAGACATGATTTTACAATCAGTTCCCTCCTACCCAGACATGATTTTACAATCAGTTCCCTCCTAACAGACATGATTTTACAATCAGTTCCCTCCTAACAGACATGATTTTACAATCAGTTCCCTCCTACCCAGACATGATTTTACAATCAGTTCCCTCCTACCCAGACATGATTTTACAATCAGTTCCCAACTACCCACACATGATTTTACAATCAGTTCCCTCCTAACAGACATGATTTTACAATCAGTTCCCTCCTACCCAGACATGATTTTACAATCAGTTCCCTCCTACCCAGACATGATTTTACAATCAGTTCCCAACTACCCACACATGATTTTACAATCAGTTCCCTCCTACACGGACATGATTTTACAATCAGTTCCCTCATACCAGACATGATTTTACAATCAGTTCCCTCCTACCCAGGCATGATTTTACAATCAGTTCACTCCTACCAGACATGATTTTACAATCAGTTCCCTCATACCAGACATGATTTTACAATCAGTTCCCTCCTAACAAACATGATTTTACAATCAGTTCACTCCTACCCAGACATGATTATACAATTAGTTCCCAACTACCCAGACATGATTTTACAATCAGTACCCTCCTAATAGACATGATTTTACAATCAGTTCCCAACTACCCAGATTTGATTTTACAATCAGTTCCCTTCTACACAGACATGATTTTACAATCAGTTCCCTCCTAATAGACATGATTTTACAATCAGTTCCCTCCTAATAGACATGATTTTACAATCAGTTCCCTCCTACCAGACATGATTTTACAATCAGTTCCCTTCTACACAGACATGATTTTACAATCAGTTCCCTCATACCAGACATGATTTTACAATCAGTTCCCTTCTACACAGACATGATTTTACAATCAGTTCCCTTCTACACAGACATGATTTTACAATCAGTTCCCTCATACCAGACATGATTTTACAATCAGTTCCCTCCTACCCAGACATGATTTTACAATCAGTTCCCTCCTAATAGACATGATTTTACAATCAGTTCCCTTCTACACAGACATGATTTTACAATCAGTTCCCTCATACCAGACATGATTTTACAATCAGTTCCCTCCTAATAGACATGATTTTACAATCAGTTCCCTCCTAATAGACATGATTTTACAATCAGTTCCCTCCTACACAGACATGATTTTACAATCAGTTCCCTCCTACCCAGACATGATTTTACAATCAGTTCCCTCCTAACAAACATGATTTTACAATCAGTTCCCTCCTACCCAGACATGATTATACAATTAGTTCCAAACTACCCAGACATGATTTTACAATCATTTCCCTCCTAATAGACATGATTTTACAATCAGTTCCCAACTACCCAGATTTGATTTTACAATCAGTTCCCTTCTACACGGACATGATTTTACAATCAGTTCCCTCATACCAGACATGATTTCACAATCAGTTCCCTTCTACACAGACATGATTTTACAATCAGTTCCCTCCTAACAGACATGATTTTACAATCAGTTCCCTCCTACCAGACATGATTTTACAATCAGTTCCCTCATACCAGACATGATTTTACAATCAGTTCCCTTCTACACAGACATGATTTTACAATCAGTTCCCTCATACCAGACATGATTTTACAATCAGTTCCCTCCTAATAGACATGATTTTACAATCAGTTCCCTCCTACCCAGACATGATTTTACAATCAGTTCCCTCCTAACAGACATGATTTTACAATCAGTTCCCTTCTACCCAGACATGATTTTACAATCAGTTCCCTCCTAACAGACATGATTTTACAATCAGTTCCCTTCTACCCAGACATGACTTTACAATCAGTTCCCTTCTTCCCAGACATGATTTTACAATCAGTTCCCTCCTAACAGACATGATTTTACAATCAGCTCCCTCCTAACAGACATGATTTTACAATCAGTTCCCTCCTAATAGACATGATTTTACAATCAGTTCCCTCCTAACAGACATGATTTTACAATCAGTTCCCTTCTACACAGACATGATTTTACAATCAGTTCCCTCCTAACAGACATGATTTTACAATCAGCTCCCTCCTACCCAGACATGATTTTACAATCAGCTCCCTCCTACCCAGGCATGATTTTACAATCAGCTCCCTCCTAACAGACATGATTTTACAATCAGTTCCCTTCTACCCAGACATGATTTTACAATCAGCTCCCTCCTAACAGACATGATTTTACAATCAGTTCCCTTCTACCCAAACATGATTTTACAATCAGTTCCCTTCTACCCAGACATGATTTTACAATCAGTTCCCTCCTAACAGACATGATTTTACAATCAGTTCCCTCATACCAGACATGATTTTACAATCAGTTCCCTCCTACCCAGACATGATTTTACAATCAGTTCCCAACTACCCAGACATGATTTTACAATCAGTTCCCTCCTACCCAGACATGATTTTACAATCAGTTCCCTCTTAATAGACATGATTTTACAATCAGTTCCCTTCTACACAGACATGATTTTACAATCAGCTCCCTCCTAACAGACATGATTTTACAATCAGTTCCCTCCTACCCAGACATGATTTTACAATCAGTTCCCTTCTACACAGACATGATTTTACAATCAGTTCCCTCCTACCCAGACATGATTTTACAATCAGTTCCCTCCTACCCAGACATGATTTTACAATCAGTTCCCTCCTAACAGACATGATTTTACAATCAGTTCCCTCCTAACAGACATGATTTTACAATCAGTTCCCTTCTACCCAGACATGATTTTACAATCAGTTCCCTCCTAACAGACATGATTTTACAATCAGCTCCCTCCTAACAGACATGATTTTACAATCAGTTCCCTTCTACACAGACATGATTTTACAATCAGTTCCCTCCTAACAGACATGATTTTACAATCAGCTCCCTCCTACCCAGACATGATTTTACAATCAGTTCCCTTCTACACAGACATGATTTTACAATCAGTTCCCTCATACCAGACATGATTTTACAATCAGTTCCCTCCTAATAGACATGATTTTACAATCAGTTCCCTCCTACACAGACATGATTTTACAATCAGTTCCCTCCTAACAGACATGATTTTACAATCAGTTCCCTCCTACCCAGACATGATTTTACAATCAGTTCCCTCATACCCAGACATCATGACCAGAAATCTCATGATGTTAAAAACAATGTAAAGATTTTTAGTGGTATCTTTTACTTGTTTTGAAGAGAATTTCAAAATTTCTCTCACTGTATTGCATACAAAGTGTTTGAATTGACAGAACATGGTGAGCCCCACTGAATGTTTCCTGCAACATTTGTGCTATCCTGAAGTGGAAGAGACTGCAGTGGACCTTCGTCAGAGTGCAGTGGTCATCATGTCTCACCTGGACAGGCTGGCTGCCCCCTACCTGCCCCTCAACTCAACACACAAGGTCAAACACTTTTGACTCAAGTCACCTAATCCTACTCCCGTCAACTGTATAACACTAGCCTCAAGCTGTCACCCTAATGTTTGTAGTCCCAGTGTCCAGCTGTCACCCTAAATGTTCTATTTGCTTGTAGTCCCAGTGTCCAGCTGTCACCCTAAATGTTCTATTTGCTTGTAGTCCCAGTGTCCAGCTTTTACCCTAACCTAATGTTCTATTTGCTTGTAGTCCCAGTGTCCAGCTGTTACCCTAACCTAATGTTCTATTTGCTTGTAGTCCCAGTGTCCAGCTGTTACCCTAACCTAATGTTCTATTTGCTTGTAGTCCCAGTGTCCAGCTGTCACCCTAAATGTTCTATTTGCTTGTAGTCCCAGTGTCCAGCAGTCACCCTAACCTAATGTTCTATTTGCTTGTAGTCCCAGTGTCCAGCTGTCACCCTAACCTAATGTTCTATTTGCTTGTAGTCCCAGTGTCCAGCTGTCACCCTAAATGTTCTATTTGCTTGTAGTCCCAGTGTCCAGCTGTCACCCTAAATGTTCTATTTGCTTGTAGTCCCAGTGTCCAGCTGTCACCCTAAATGTTCTATTTGCTTGTAGTCCCAGTGTCCAGCTGTCACCCTAACCCAGGGGTCTCCAAACTTTTCAGTCCGAGGGCCGCATTAACTATCAAATTTCAGCTCGGGGGCCAGTTTCTTCCAGGCATGTCTTTTATTTTTCTGGGCAAAGTTCCTCAGCCTTCACCAACAAACGATTTTTCCGTGGACAAAAATATATCCGCGGGCCGGATGAGAGGACTTCGCGGGCCGCATCCGGCCCGCGGGCCGTAGTTTGGAGACCCCTGCCCTAACCTAATGTTCTATTTGCTTGTAGTCCCAGTGTCCAGCAGTCACCCTAAATGTTCTATTTGCTTGTAGTCCCAGTGTCCAGCTGTTACCCTAAATGTTCTATTTGCTTGTAGTCCCAGTGTCCAGCAGTCACCCTAACCTAATGTTCTATTTGCTTGTAGTCCCAGTGTCCAGCTGTCACCCTAACCTAATGTTCTATTTGCTTGTAGTCCCAGTGTCCAGCTGTCACCCTAAATGTTCTATTTGCTTGTAGTCCCAGTGTCCAGCTGTCACCCTAACCTAATGTTCTATTTGCTTGTAGTCCCAGTGTCCAGCTGTCACACTAACCTAATGTTCTGTTTGCTTGTAGTCCCAGTGTCCAGCTGTCACCCTAAATGTTCCATTTGCTTGTAGTCCCAGTGTCCAGCTGTCACCCTAAATGTTCTATTTGCTTGTAGTCCCAGTGTCCAGCTGTCACACTAACCTAATGTTCTGTTTGCTTGTAGTCCCAGTGTCCAGCTGTCACCCTAAATGTTCCATTTGCTTGTAGTCCCAGTGTCCAGCTGTCACCCTAAATGTTCTATTTGCTTGTAGTCCCAGTGTCCAGCTGTCACCCTAACCTAATGTTCTATTTGCTTGTAGTCCCAGTGTCCAGCTGTCACCCTAACCTAATGTTCTGTTTGCTTGTAGTCCCAGTGTCCAGCTGTCACCCTAAATGTTCCATTTGCTTGTAGTCCCAGTGTCCAGCTGTCACCCTAAATGTTCTATTTGCTTGTAGTCCCAGTGTCCAGCTGTCACCCTAACCTAATGTTCTATTTGCTTGTAGTCCCAGTGTCCAGCTGTCACCCTAAATGTTCTATTTGCTTGTAGTCCCAGTGTCCAGCTGTCACCCTAACCTAATGTTCTATTTGCTTGTAGTCCCAGTGTCCAGCAGTCACTCTAACCTAATGTTCTATTTGCTTGTAGTCCCAGTGTCCAGCTGTCACCCTAACCTAATGTTCTATTTGCTTGTAGTCCCAGTGTCCAGCTGTTACCCTAACCTAATGTTCTATTTGCTTGTAGTCCCAGTGTCCAGCTGTTACCCTAACCTAATGTTCTATTTGCTTGTAGTCCCAGTGTCCAGCTGTTACCCTAACCTAATGTTCTATTTGCTTGTAGTCCCAGTGTCCAGCTGTCACCCTAACCTAATGTTCTATTTGCTTGTAGTCCCAGTGTCCAGCTGTCACCCTAACCTAATGTTCTATTTGCTTGTAGTCCCAGTGTCCAGCTGTCACCCTAACCTAATGTTCTATTTGCTTGTAGTCCCAGTGTCCAGCTGTCACCCTAAATGTTCTATTTGCTTGTAGTCCCAGTGTCCAGCTGTCACCCTAAATGTTCTATTTGCTTGTAGTCCCAGTGTCCAGCTGTCACCCTAACCTAATGTTCTATTTGCTTGTAGTCCCAGTGTCCAGCAGTCACCCTAACCTAATGTTCTATTTGCTTGTAGTCCCAGTGTCCAGCTGTTACCCTAACCTAATGTTCTATTTGCTTGTAGTCCCAGTGTCCAGCTGTCACCCTAAATGTTCTATTTGCTTGTAGTCCCAGTGTCCAGCTGTCACCCTAACCTAATGTTCTATTTGTTTGTAGTCCCAGTGTCCAGCTGTCACCCTAAATGTTCTATTTGCTTGTAGTCCCAGTGTCCAGCTGTCACCCTAATGTTTGGTAGTCCCAGTGTCCAGCTGTCACCCTAATGTTTGTAGTCCCAGTGTCCAGCTGTCACCCTAATGTTTGTAGTCCTAGTGTCCAGCTGTCACCCTAATGTTTGTAGTCCCAGTGTCCAGCTGTCACCCTAATGTTTGGTAGTCCCAGTGTCCAGCTGTCACCCTAACCTAATGTTCTATTTGCTTGTAGTCCCAGTGTCCAGCTGTCACCCTAAATGTTCTATTTGCTTGTAGTCCCAGTGTCCAGCAGTCACCCTAATGTTTGTAGTCCCAGTGTCCAGCTGTCACCCTAATGTTTGTAGTCCCAGTGTCCAGCTGTCACCCTAATGTTTGTAGTCCCAGTGTCCAGCTGTCACCCTAATGTTTGTAGTCCCAGTGTCCAGCTGTCACCCTAACCTAATGTTCTATTTGCTTGTAGTCCCAGTGTCCAGCTGTTACCCTAACCTAATGTTCTATTTGCTTGTAGTCCCAGTGTCCAGCTGTCACCCTAACCTAATGTTCTATTTGCTTGTAGTCCCAGTGTCCAGCTGTCACCCTAAATGTTCTATTTGCTTGTAGTCCCAGTGTCCAGCTGTCACCCTAACCTAATGTTCTATTTGCTTGTAGTCCCAGTGTCCAGCAGTCACCCTAATGTTTGTAGTCCCAGTGTCCAGCTGTCACCCTAAATGTTCTATTTGCTTGTAGTCCCAGTGTCCAGCTGTCACCCTAACCTAATGTTCTATTTGCTTGTAGTCCCAGTGTCCAGCTGTTACCCTAACCTAATGTTCTATTTGCTTGTAGTCCCAGTGTCCAGCTGTCACCCTAACCTAATGTTCTATTTGCTTGTAGTCCCAGTGTCCAGCAGTCACCCTAATGTTTGTAGTCCCAGTGTCCAGCTGTCACCCTAAATGTTCTATTTGCTTGTAGTCCCAGTGTCCAGCTGTTACCCTAACCTAATGTTCTATTTGCTTGTAGTCCCAGTGTCCAGCTGTCACACTAACCTAATGTTCTATTTGCTTGTAGTCCCAGTGTCCAGCTGTCACCCTAAATGTTCTATTTACTTGTAGTCCCAGTGTCCAGCTGTCACCCTAACCTAATGTTCTATTTGCTTGTAGTCCCAGTGTCCAGCAGTCACCCTAAATGTTCTATTTGCTTGTAGTCCCAGTGTCCAGCTGTTACCCTAACCTAATGTTCTATTTGCTTGTAGTCCCAGTGTCCAGCTGTCACACTAACCTAATGTTCTGTTTGCTTGTAGTCCCAGTGTCCAGCTGTCACCCTAAATGTTCTATTTGCTTGTAGTCCCAGTGTCCAGCTGTCACCCTAAATGTTCTATTTGCTTGTAGTCCCAGTGTCCAGCTGTCACCCTAACCTAATGTTCTATTTGTTTGTAGTCCCAGTGTCCAGCTGTCACCCTAAATGTTCTATTTGCTTGTAGTCCCAGTGTCCAGCTGTCACCCTAATGTTTGGTAGTCCCAGTGTCCAGCTGTCACCCTAACCTAATGTTCTATTTGCTTGTAGTCCCAGTGTCCAGCTGTCACACTAACCTAATGTTCTGTTTGCTTGTAGTCCCAGTGTCCAGCTGTCACCCTAAATGTTCCATTTGCTTGTAGTCCCAGTGTCCAGCTGTCACCCTAAATGTTCTATTTGCTTGTAGTCCCAGTGTCCAGCTGTCACCCTAACCTAATGTTCTATTTGCTTGTAGTCCCAGTGTCCAGCTGTCACCCAGGAAATCATTGGCATGGGCTGGTTGTCATGGGCCAACGCCAGCACCATGACACACGTCTTGGAGGTCTTCAATGATCTGGGTGGTGTGCACCAGATAGTCTGTGCTGAAAGGTGTCTCCTGGCCCTCACCAGAACAGGGAGAGTCTACACCATGTACTACAGCTCTGACACACAGGTGCGCGTTATCTTCTATAGTCCTCTTCAGCTCAGTTCTTTTATATATTACTATTTGATACAGAGATTTATAAGTGTGTGGGTTTGTCAGTCCTCCCCCAGCTAGTGTGTGGGTTTGGTGAGTTTATAAATATTGTTGACTATTGTCAGTCCCCCCCCCCCCCAGCTAGTGTGTGGGTTTGGTGAGTTTATAAATATTGTTGACTATTGTCAGTCCCCCCCCCCCCCAGCTAGTGTGTGGGTTTGGTGAGTTTATAAATAATGTTGACTATTGTCAGTCCCCCCAGCTAGTGTGTAGGTTTGGTGAGTTTATAAATATTGTTGACTATTGTCAGTCCCCCCCAGCTAGTGTGTGGGTTTGGTGAGTTTATAAATATTGTTGACTATTGTCAGTCCCCGTCCCCCCCCCCCCCCCCAGCTAGTGTGTGGGTTTGGTGAGTTTATAAATATTGTTGACTATTGTCAGTCCCCCCCAGCTAGTGTGTGGGTTTGGTGAGTTTATAAATATTGTTGACTATTGTCAGTCCCCGTCCCCCCCCCCCCCCCCCCAGCTAGTGTGTGGGTTTGGTGAGTTTATAAATATTGTTGACTATTGTCAGTCCCCCCAGCTAGTGTGTGGGTTTGGTGAGTTTATAAATATTGTTGACTATTGTCAGTCCCCCCCCCCCCAGCTAGTGTGTGGGTTTGGTGAGTTTATAAATATTGTTGACTATTGTCAGTCCTCCCAGCTAGTGTGTGGGTTTGGTGAGTTTATAAATATTGTTGACTATTGTCAGTCCCCCCAGCTAGTGTGTGGGTTTGGTGAGTTTATAAATAGTGTTGACTATTGTCAGTCCCCCCAGCTAGTGTGTGGGTTTGGTGAGTTTATAATATTGTTGACTATTGTCAGTCCCCCCAGCTAGTGTGTGGGTTTGGTGAGTTTATAAATATTGTTGACTATTGTCAGTCCCCCCCCCCCCCAGCTAGTGTGTGGGTTTGGTGAGTTTATAAATATTGTTGACTATTGTCAGTCCCCCCAGCTAGTGTGTGGGTTTGGTGAGTTTATAAATAGTGTTGACTATTGTCAGTCCCCCCAGCTAGTGTGTGGGTTTGGTGAGTTTATAAATATTGTTGACTATTGTCAGTCCCCCCCCCCCCCCCCCCCCAGCTAGTGTGTGGGTTTGGTGAGTTTATAAATATTGTTGACTATTGTCAGTCCCCCCAGCTAGTGTGTGGGTTTGGTGAGTTTATAAATATTGTTGACTATTGTCAGTCCCCCCAGCTAGTGTGTGGGTTTGGTGAGAAGGAAGTTGTCAAGTTAGCAGCCCATGCTGATGGCAAACATTACCTGGCATTGACCAGTGAGGGGGACGTCTACTCCTGGGGAAATGGTGATGGTGGTCGCCTAGGACATGGAGACAACATGTAAGTTTCACATTTCATCAGCGCGTTGTTTGTCTTACATTTGTCCACATCTAGTCTGACATTTCTCTTCATCAGCGCGTTGTTTGTCTTACATTTGTCCACATCAAGTCTGATGCCAGACTATTTGATTGCGCTCTAAAATCCCTTCCATAGTTCAAGAGATGAGCCCACTCTTATCACAGCTCTCTCAGGCAAACATATGGTGCAAGTCTGTGCTGGCAGTACCTACAGTGCTGCCATCTCCTCCAGTGGAGAGCTCTACACTTGGGGGCGGGGCAACTATGGCCGTCTGGGACATGGTTCCAGTGAAGACCAGTGCTATCCAAGTCTAGTTTCTGCCTTGAAAGGTCATCGTGTGGTTGATGTGGCATGTGGCAGTGGGGATGCTCAAACTTTGGCCGTCACTGACACAGGTGCTCATATTCAAGTTCATGTGACATCTTGACAAAATTCAACTTTTGCTTTATGACATCCTGACAGACATGCCTACCATCCCACTAAAAGCGGAATCGTTCCACTTTTTTACAATTTATTTTTATTTTGACTAAATAAAGTAGCAAGAGCGTAGGTTCCTCTTTTTGGCTTCAAACCCCTCTGACTGTTAGTACTTTTGGTTGTCAGGGGTAGGCATGCCTGTCCTGACAAAATTCAATTTTTTTAATTTGACATGACATAATTGTGTTGATGTGACATGACATAATTGTGTTGATGTGACATGACATAGTGTGTTGATGTGACATGCCATAATTGTGTTGATGTGACATGACGTAATTGTGTTGATGTGACATGACATAATTGTGTTGATGTGACATGCCATAATTGTGTTGATGTGACATGCCATAATTGTGTTGATGTGACATGCCATAATTGTGTTGTGACATGCCATAATTGTGTTGATGTGACATGACATAATTGTGTTGATGTGACATGCCATAATTGTGTTGTGACATGCCATAATTGTGTTGATGTGACATGACATAATTGATGGACTGGCCCAAATATTTCAGGTGCGGTGTATTCCTGGGGTGACGGAGACTACGGTAAACTTGGGCGAGGTGGTAGTGATGGCTGCAAGACACCAAAGGTCATAGAAAAATTGATGGGTCAAGATGTGGTCAAAGTTTATTGTGGGGCACAGTTCAGTCTGGCGCTAACCAAATCTGGAAATATTTTTTCATGGTAACTTGTTCTGTTTTCACAACACCATCTACATGGAACACCAAATATTGTTGTGTTCCATAATTTTGTATCAGGTGTTCCATAAATTGTTTGTCAAGTGATTCCATAAATTGTTTGTCAAGTGATTCCATACATTGTTTGTCAAGTGGTTCCATAAATTATTTTTCAAGTGGTTCCAAAAAATTTGTGTCAAGTGGTTTCATAAAATTTGTGTCAAGTGGTTTGATAAAATTTGTGTCAAGTGGTTCCATAAAATTTGTGTCAAGTGGTTCAAGTGGTTCGATAAAATTTGTGTCAAGTGGTTCCATAAAATTTGTGTCCAGTGGTTCCATAAAATTTGTGTCAAATGGTTCCATAAAATTTGTGTCAAGTGGTTCAAGTGGTTCCATAAAATTTGTGTCAAGTGGTTCCATAAAATTTGTGTCTAGGGGTTCCATAAAATTTGTGTCAAGTGGTTCGATAAAATTTGTGTCAAGTGGTTCCATAAAATTTGTGTCAAGTGGTTCCATAAAATTTGTGTCAAGTGGTTCGATAAAATTTGTGTCAAGTGGTTCAAGTGGTTCCATAAAATTTGTGTCAAGTGGTTCGATAAAATTTGTGTCAAGTGGTTCCATAAAATTTGTGTCAAGTGGTTCAAGTGGTTCCATAAAATTTGTGTCAAGTGGTTCCATAAAATTTGTGTCAAGTTGTTCCATAAAATTTGTGTCAAGTGGTTCCATAAAATTTGTGTCAAGTGGTTTCATTTGTTTATCAGGGGAAAAGGTGACAACTTTCGACTGGGCCACGGATGCGAAGAACACATGCGCCACCCTAAACAGATGGAAGGATTGAATGGCAAGAAAGTTGTGAGCCTGGCTATTGGCTCCATGCACTGCTTGGCTGTCACGGAGGATGGGGAGGTCTACTGTTGGGGCAAAAATGACCAGGGTCAGCTGGGGGATGAAAGCCATGCCAATGTGACGGAACCTACCCTTATACATGGGCTGGAGGGGAGGCATATAGTGGGAGCTGCATGTGGTCCATCTCAGGTAGGTGTTAGTTGTGGGGGCCATCTGAGGTAGGTGTTAGTTGTGTGGGCCATCTCAGGTAGGTGTTAGTTGTGGGGGCCATCTCAGGTAGGTGTTAGTTGTGGGGGCCATCTCAGGTAGGTGTTAGTTGTGTGGGCCATCTCAGGTAGGTGTTAGTTGTGGGGGCCATCTCAGGCAGGTGTTAGTTGTGGGGGCCATCTCAGGTAGGTGTTAGTTGTGGGGGCCATCTCAGGTAGGTGTTAGTTGTGGGGGCCATCTCAGGTAGGTGTTGTGTGGGGGCCATCTCAGGTAGGTGTTAGTTGTGTGGGCCATCTCAGGTAGGTGTTAGTTGTGGGGGCCATCTCAGGTAGGTGTTAGTTGTGTGGGCCATCTCAGGTAGGTGTTAGTTGTGGGGGCCATCTCAGGTAGGTGTTAGTTGTGGGGGCCATCTGAGGTAGGTGTTAGTTGTGGGGGCCATCTCAGGTAGGTGTTAGTTGTGTGGGCCATCTCAGGTAGGTGTTGTGTGGGCCATCTCAGGTAGGTGTTAGTTGTGGGGGCCATCTCAGGTAGGTGTTAGTTGTGGGGGCCATCTCAGGTAGGTGTTAGTTGTGGGGGCCATCTCAGGGAGGTGTTAGTTGTGGGGGCCATCTGAGGTAGGTGTTAGTTGTGGGGGCCATCTCAGGTAGGTGTTAGTTGTGGGGGCCATCTCAGGTAGGTGTTAGTTGTGGGGGCCATCTCAGGTAGGTGTTAGTTGTGGGGGCCATCTGAGGTAGGTGTTAGTTGTGGGGGCCATCTGAGGTAGGTGTTAGTTGTGTGGGCCATCTCAGGTAGGTGTTAGTTGTGGGGGCCATCTGAGGTAGGTGTTAGTTGTGGGGGCCATCTGAGGTAGGTGTTAGTTGTGGGGGCCATCTCAGGTAGGTGTTAGTTGTGGGGGCCATCTGAGGTAGGTGTTATTTGTGGGGGCCATCTGAGGTAGGTGTTAGTTGTGTGGGCCATCTCAGGTAGGTGTTAGTTGTGGGGGCCATCTGAGGTAGGTGTTAGTTGTGGGGGCCATCTCAGGTAGGTGTTAGTTGTGTGGGCCATCTCAGGTAGGTGTTAGTTGTGGGGGCCATCTGAGGTAGGTGTTAGTTGTGGGGGCCATCTCAGGTAGGTGTTAGTTGTGGGGGCCATCTCAGGTAGGTGTTAGTTGTGGGGGCCATCTGAGGTAGGTGTTAGTTGTGGGGGCCATCTCAGGTAGGTGTTAGTTGTGTGGGCCATCTCAGGTAGGTGTTGTGTGGGCCATCTCAGGTAGGTGTTAGTTGTGGGGGCCATCTCAGGTAGGTGTTAGTTGTGTGGGCCATCTCAGGTAGGTGTTAGTTGTGGGGGCCATCTCAGGTAGGTGTTAGTTGTGGGGGCCATCTGAGGTAGGTGTTAGTTGTGGGGGCCATCTCAGGTAGGTGTTAGTTGTGGGGGCCATCTCAGGTAGGTGTTAGTTGTGGGGGCCATCTCAGGTAGGTGTTAGTTGTGGGGGCCATCTGAGGTAGGTGTTAGTTGTGGGGGCCATCTGAGGTAGGTGTTAGTTGTGTGGGCCATCTCAGGTAGGTGTTAGTTGTGGGGGCCATCTGAGGTAGGTGTTAGTTGTGGGGGCCATCTGAGGTAGGTGTTAGTTGTGGGGGCCATCTCAGGTAGGTGTTAGTTGTGGGGGCCATCTGAGGTAGGTGTTAGTTGTGGGGGCCATCTGAGGTAGGTGTTAGTTGTGTGGGCCATCTCAGGTAGGTGTTAGTTGTGGGGGCCATCTGAGGTAGGTGTTAGTTGTGGGGGCCATCTGAGGTAGGTGTTAGTTGTGTGGGCCATCTCAGGTAGGTGTTAGTTGTGGGGGCCATCTGAGGTAGGTGTTAGTTGTGGGGGCCATCTCAGGTAGGTGTTAGTTGTGTGGGCCATCTCAGGTAGGTGTTAGTTGTGGGGGCCATCTGAGGTAGGTGTTAGTTGTGGGGGCCATCTCAGGTAGGTGTTAGTTGTGGGGGCCATCTCAGGTAGGTGTTAGTTGTGGGGGCCATCTCAGGTAGGTGTTAGTTGTGGGGGCCATCTCAGGTAGGTGTTAGTTGTGGGGGCAATCTCAGGTAGGTGTTAGTTGTGGGGGCCATCTCAGGTAGGTGTTAGTTGTGGGGGCCATCTCAGGTAGGTGTTAGTTGTGGGGGCCATCTCAGGTAGGTGTTAGTTGTGGGGGCCATCTCAGGTAGGTGTTAGTTGTGGGGGCCATCTGAGGTAGGTGTTAGTTGTGGGGGCCATCTGAGGTAGGTGTTAGTTGTGTGGGCCATCTCAGGTAGGTGTTAGTTGTGGGGGCCATCTGAGGTAGGTGTTAGTTGTGGGGGCCATCTGAGGTAGGTGTTAGTTGTGGGGGCCATCTCAGGTAGGTGTTAGTTGTGGGGGCCATCTGAGGTAGGTGTTAGTTGTGGGGGCCATCTGAGGTAGGTGTTAGTTGTGTGGGCCATCTCAGGTAGGTGTTAGTTGTGGGGGCCATCTGAGGTAGGTGTTAGTTGTGGGGGCCATCTCAGGTAGGTGTTAGTTGTGTGGGCCATCTCAGGTAGGTGTTAGTTGTGGGGGCCATCTGAGGTAGGTGTTAGTTGTGGGGGCCATCTCAGGTAGGTGTTAGTTGTGTGGGCCATCTCAGGTAGGTGTTAGTTGTGGGGGCCATCTCAGGTAGGTGTTAGTTGTGGGGGCCATCTCAGGTAGGTGTTAGTTGTGGGGGCCATCTCAGGTAGGTGTTAGTTGTGGGGGCCATCTCAGGTAGGTGTTAGTTGTGGGGGCCATCTCAGGTAGGTGTTAGTTGTGGGGGCCATCTCAGGTAGGTGTTAGTTGTGGGGGCCATCTCAGGTAGGTGTTAGTTGTGGGGGCCATCTCAGGTAGGTGTTAGTTGTGGGGGCCATCTCAGGTAGGTGTTAGTTGTGTGGGCCATCTCAGGTGTTAGTTGTGGGGGGCCATCTGAGTTTGACGTGAGAGTTGTATGTTGAATGATTGATCTTTCTGTTCCTGTGTTCCCTAGAGTTTCCTGTGGTCCTCCAGTGAGAAGTGGACTGTGGGATCCAGGATTCCATTCATTGTGGACGTCTCTAGAGGCACATTTGAGCAGCTTGACCAGCTGCTGCACGAGGTCTGTGAGGGCATGGATGGACGCAGCGACTGGCCACCTACACAGGATAAAGAGTGTATTGCAGTGGCTGGCCTCAACCTACTCAACCTGCAGGTGGGTCTCCACGCTGCTCATGCTTTCTTGGCTACTGGCAAGTTTATGCAAATCTATATATAATTCTCTACATGGGGACCATGCAAGACACAACCACGTAAGGGCTTAGCCAATCCTACCCTGCTCCCTAGGCATATAGCTACCACCCCCACCCCACCAGTCTGGTGAGCTGTGGTTCACCCCGAATGTTTACAATGTGACGGCTATTAGGGGCAGATAATTTAGCTTTAAATTAATTTGAAATTAAGAAGAGGTAAGAAATTCTGCTTGATATTTTCATTGTTGTCTGTAAACTGTCGTCACAGACTGCTGCTTTCACTGGGGGGGGGGGGGGGGGAGAGGTTAGTGTCGATTTTCACAAATTATGAATCACTGAAAAGTAGAAAATAACTAAATAACTGCGTATGCTGACAGTGCGGGTCAGCTCGTAGTAAATAAATAAATAAAAATGGTGGCTACTGGCAAGTTTATGCAAATAGTAAAAAAAAAATTTCATAAAAAACATTTTAATAAGCTTTTATGTAATATTGCCCTAAAAAGGAGAAAATAAATTATAGACTACTATTTAAATAACTATAAAGAAAAGCGTGGGTCACTTTAGTATCTATTGGATACCTTTACTAATATTTAGGAAGAGACCCACGCTATAATATATTTTCTCCTTTTAAGTGCATTATTACATAAAAGCTTGTTATTAAAACATTTTTTATGAAAAAATTTTTTTACTACTTTACATGTTTTATTTACAATAGAGTAACATAACTAAAAACCATTGCGTACCTATTGAACATGATGACGCTCTATTGAACGTGATGATGTGTGTCTAATAGCATGGAATAGTTTGATGAGACAGTCTACTAATTTGAACAAAATTTTAATTAATTCATAAAAAATTCATAAAAAATGGACACAAGCGAGAAAAGTCTCAAAGGTATTTGAGAGGTGCATAAATTAATTTTAAAATCTTGCACGGCATAGTTACAATTAATATGGTTATAAAATCCTGTCTGTCTGGTTTTTTTCGGACTTTACTAAAGATTGGACGTATTTTATGTTTTTAATATTTTCGGTAACTAAATAAAAATTTAAAAAAAAGCAAAAACAATTTGGTTTTCACGTGTAATGGCGACATAAACAATGGCATCCTGCTATTGGATAGGCCGACATGAATTTTATTGTACACATTGTAAGCTAAAAATAGAAAACTAGGTCATGGGGTTTTAAATTTGCATTTTTATTTAAAAACTTGATCTGCAAAGTTTTGTAAACAAATAGTTATCGATCACTAAGTTACTGTACAGCCAATCAATATTTGTCTTACGAAAGTGAAACATCCGGTTATAACTTAGGCTTGATGAAAATAAATAGAAATGTAGCCTTAAACTCAACAAATTATTTTCAAGTTCTCTGGATTTGCAACTTTTATAGCATTTATTCTAAAAATATAAAATTTCTAAATTAATTTTAGGCTTAAGTTTTTATTTTTATTTTTTTTTACGGTCTAAATTTAAAAAGCACGTTATTATTCCATGTCAACAACACTATGGAAGGAATCTCGTCAACTCGCTTGTCTCCATTAATCAGGCAACCAATTGAGTCAAATTTAATGTCATGTTGCATTGTCTTCATGTCTTGACCAACGTACGAACTACGTACCGTATCTGTCAGTTAGAAGTGCCTGCAATTTGGCTCGGGCGTTTTGATCTAGACAGACTGACGACAGACTGACGAGGAAGTGAGTTAAATAAAAGCTTGTAAAAGTGGTGGCTACTGGCAAGTTTATGCCAGATGATTTGTTGTACATATATATATATATATGTACATATGTTGAACTCTGGACTAGAACGTTTGTAGAAAAAATTCCCAACAGAATAACCTACATGAAAAACATCTATTTGGCATTTGGTGATTTGAGATGATGATCATATTTGCAAGCAAAAGAAATCTTAAATATTAAAACCTGCTAGATCAAATTATTGTTTTTTAGCGATGATAAAATGATGTCTAATAATAAAGTATAGGAAAATATAAAAACTACCTTCACTAATTAAGTATAGTAGGAAAGTACGAAAACTACCTTTACTGATTAAGTATAGGAAAATACGAAAACTACCTTTACTAATTAAGAATTTAAGCACCTTATAATTGTCTGGTCACATTGATGAACAAACAGTGACCTACACAAGACCTACTTTGTTTTATTAAATCAAGAAGTAAATGTTCAATTTAAGCCCCACTGTCCTGAAAATGTAAATGTTCAATATAAGCCCCACTGTCCTGAAAATGTAAATGTTCAATATAAGCCCCACTGTCCTGGAAATGTAAATGTTCAATATAAGCCCCACTGCCCTGAAAATGTAAATGTTCAATTTAAGCCCCACTGTCCTGAAAATGTAAATGTTCAATATAAGCCCCACTGTCCTGAAAATGTTCAATATAAGCCCCACTGTCCTGAAAATGTAAATGTTCAATATAAGCCCCACTGCCCAGAAAATGTAAATGTTCAATATAAGCCCCACTGCCCAGAAAATGTAAATGTTCAATATAAGCCCCACTGTCCTAAAAATGTAAATGTTCAATATAAGCCCCACTGTCCTGAAAATGTAAATGTTCAATATAAGCCCCACTGCCCAGAAAATGTAAATGTTCAATATAAGCCCCACTGTCCTGAAAATGTTCAATATAAGCCCCACTGTCCTGAAAATGTAAATGTTCAATATAAGCCCCACTGCCCTGAAAATGTTCAATATAAGCCCCACTGCCCTGAAAATGTTCAACCTAAGCCCCACTATTCTGAAAATATGCCCAGAAATAAAGCTCTCTACCCCTGGCTATACTTGTGTTTTTTAGGGGGGAGGGGGGAAGAACCTGAGTTTTTTTTACTGAATGCTCAAGTAAGACCACTGCTACTTTGATGTTAAAAATGTGTATATTTGTTTTGCTTATTTGAGTAGTTATGTTAAAAATGTGTATATTTGTATTGCATATTTGAGTAGTTATGTTAAAAATGTGTATATTTGTTTTGCTTATTTGAGTAGTTATGTTAAAAATGTGTATATTTGTTTTGCTTATTTGAGTAGTTATGTTAAAAATGTGTATATTTGTATTGCATATTTGAGTAGTTATGTTAAAAATGTGTATATTTGTATTGCATATTTGAGTAGTTATTGCATCTTTTTAAAAATTGTTGCATTTGAAGCTGCACGCTGCCATCTGTCAAGCTGAAGATGTGGAACATCTGGGATTGTTGCAAGGGACAGCAATGGTAGAAAGCCTGAAGCAAAGGCTTGTTTCTCTAGCTAGTAACAGTGGTGTCATCACCAGCATACAGAAAGCTGCACAGGCTGCACTACAAAGTGGCTGGTCACTGCTGCTGCCCACTCCAGAAGAAAGAGCCAGAGCTCTGTCATCACTTCTGGCATCTGGAGGTAATCTAGTCACTGGTCACTTCACTTTTACTGGTCAGTTCATTTCCATTGGTCAGTTAACTACCACTGATCAGTTAATTTCTATTGGTCAATTCCACTGGTCAGCCAACTTCCACTGGTCAGTTAACTTCCATTGGTCAGTTAACTTCCATTGGTCAGTTAACTTCCATTGGTCAGTTAACTTCCATTGGTCAGTTAATTGTCACTGATCAATTAACTTCCACTTCTCAATTATCAACTGCAACTGGCAACATGAACTATTTGATCTGGTAATAACATAATTTTTGAATCAGGTCGAGACATGACAGTTATGTCAAGTGGTCAGCGCTTCATGACAGATCTACTGGTCAGTTCCTTAATGGCTGATGGTGGACTTGAAACAGCACTGCATTTGGCCATTAAAGCTGAGGTCAAAGGAATGGATGATTCTAAGGTGATTGGCTAGTTGAACTTGATGGGTACTTTTTGATTGGCTAGTTGATGACTAGGGTACTTTTTGATTGGTTAGTTGATGACAAGGGTACTTTTTGATTGGCTAGTTGATGACAAGGTACTTTTTGATTGGCTAGTTGATGACAAGGGTATGGGTGATTCTAAGGTGATTGGCTAGTTGATGACAGGGTATTTTTTGATTGGCTAGTTGATGACAAGGGTACTTTTTGATTGGCTAGTTGATGACAAGGTACTTTTTGATTGGCTAGTTGATGACAGGGTACTTTTTGATTGGCTAGTTGATGACAAGGGTATGGGTGATTCTAAGGTGATTGGCTAGTTGATGACAGGGTACTTTTTGATTGGCTAGTTGATGACAAGGGTACTTTTTGATTGGCTAGTTGATGACAGGGTACTTTTTGATTGGCTAGTTGATGACAAGGGTACTTTTTGATTGGCTAGTTGATGACAAGGGTACTTTTTGATTGGCTAGTTGATGACAGGGGTACTTTTGATTGGCTAGTTGATGACAAGGGTATGGGTGATTCTAAGGTGATTGGCTAGTTGATGACAAGGGTACTTTTTGATTGGCTAGTTGATGACAGGGGTACTTTTTGATTGGCTAGTTGATGACAAGGGTATGGGTGATCCTAAGGTGATTGGCTAGTTGAACTTGATGACAAGGGTATGGGTGATTCTAAGGTGATTGGCTAGTTGATGACAAGGGTACTTTTTGATTGGCTAGTTGATGACAAGGGTATGGGTGATTCAAAGGTGATTGGCTAGTTGATGACAAGGGTATGGGTGATTCTAAGGTGATTGGCTAGTTGAACTTGATGACAAGGGTACTTTTTGATTTGATGATGACATTGGTACTAACAGCTTATTTTTTTTTAGGAAAAAGAAAGTGATATAAAGATTAAAGAGGACAGCAGCCATGAAAAAATTGGAGAAACAACAATTGAAGTTAAGAGTGATGTCCCTTTGCTAGATGTACAGTTGGGTGATGGCTCTGATGATAGAGAGACAACCATTCCATTGTTACAGTTAGTTCATCAGCTCTTTAGGTAAAGTTTTTGTTAGTTCATCAGCTGTTTAGGTAAAGTTTTTGTTAGTTCATCAGCTCTTTAGGTAAAGTTTTTGTCAGTTCGTCAGCTCTTTGGGTAAAGTTTTTGTTAGTTCATCAGCTCTTTAGGTAAAGTTTTTGCTAGTTCATCAGCTCTTTGGGTAAAGTTTTTGTTAGTTCATCAGCTCTTTAGGTAAAGTTTTTGTTAGTTCATCAGCTCTTTAGGTAAAGTTTTTGTTAGTTCATCAGCTCTTTAGGTAAAGTTTTTGTTAGTTCATCAGCTCTTTAGGTAAAGTTTTTGTTAGTTCATCAGCTCTTTAGGTAAAGTTTTTGTTAGTTCATCAGCTCTTTGGGTAAAGTTTTTGTTAGTTCATCAGCTGTTAGGGAAAATGTTTTTATTTTCAGAAACTCATCTACACACACACTTACAAAGCTTCAAGAGGAAGCCAAATGTGTTGGAATAAAAAACCCAGATTCAGAAACTCCAGAGAACTGTCCATCTCTGGACCTACTTCTACAGTTCCAGAGGCTCTTGGTCTCTAGAATATTCCATAACAAAAGTCTGACAGAGGGATCTGATGATCTTAGAACCAGCAAGGAGGGGCATAATGGTGAAATAGGTGCGGTAGATATTTCTCACATTTGGAAAGTAAAATTGGTGAGGTAGTCAATTAAAAATTGGAAATAATTGTGTGTTTATTGTGAGATTTTTAGTCAAAATTTGATTGACACATTTGAACCATTTTGTACAGGCTATGAAATGCTGGGGGCAGCATCACTTCTGCGCAAGTACTGCAGTTTGCTTGTTGCTCATGTATCCAACATCCTCCCAACTGCTTCCAGTGTTGGAGAAATGAGTACACGTAGCTTTGCCAATGTTTCAGCTGTTCTCTGTAAAGACATTACAGGTAAATAACTCATTTACAGGTAAATAACCCAGTTACAGGTAAATAACTCAGTTACAGGTAAATAACTCATTTACAGGTAAATAACTCAGTTACAGGGGGGTCGTCGTGGTCGAGTCGGTAAAGCTCATGGTTGCTAAACCGAAAAGTCTCGAGTTCGAACCCTCGGGCAGATGAGGCTCGTTAGCTGGGGACAGCCACTCTTCTAGGAGAGACAACTCCAAAATTAAACAACTGCTGCCTTGTAGTTTGTTCTTGGTTGGACAAAGGCTATGGAAGCAAATCCAAAAAGAAAAGCAGGCTGAAATCGGAGTCAATGGCCTCAAAGGCGCATAACCAGTTGACACGTAACGCTTAATTGTGTTGGAGGCGTGGTCGAGTCGGCAAAAAGCTCATGGTTGATAAATTCGAACAAAGTCTCGAGTTCAAAACCCACTGGCAGATAAATCTCGATCACCCTTCAACACTAATAATTAAGAACGAAGAAGAAGAAGAAGAAGACTCAGTTACAGGTAAATAAATCAGGTTCAAGTAAATAAATCAGGTACAGGTAAATAACTCAGTTACAGATAAATAACTCAGTTACAGGTAAATAACTCAGTTACAGGTAAATAACTCAGTTACAGGTAAATAACTCAGTTACAGATAAATAACTCAGTTACAGATAAATAACTCAGTTACAGGTAAATAACTCAGTTACAGATAAATAACTCAGTTACAGATAAATAACTCAGTTACAGGTAAATAAATCAGGTATAGGTAAATAACCCAGTTACAGGTAAATAACTCAGTTACAGATAAATAACTCAGTTACAGGTAAATAACTCAGTTACAGGTAAATAAATCAGTTACAGATAAATAACTCAGTTACAGGTAAATAACTCAGTTACAGGTAAATAACTCAGTTACAGGTAAATAACTCAGTTACAGATAAATAACTCAGTTACAGGTAAATAACTCAGTTACAGGTAAATAACTCAGTTACAGGTAAATAACTCAGTTACAGGTAAATAACTCAGTTACAGATAAATAACTCAGTTACAGATAAATAACTCAGTTACAGGTAAATAACTCAGTTACAGATAAATAACTCAGTTACAGATAAATAACTCAGTTACAGGTAAATAAATCAGGTATAGGTAAATAAATCAGGTCCAAGTAAATAAATCAGGTATAGGTAAATAACTCAGTTACAGGTAAATAACTCAGTTACAGATAAATAACTCAGTTACAGGTAAATAAATCAGGTATAGGTAAATAAATCAGGTCCAAGTAAATAAATCAGGTATAGGTAAATAACTCAGTTACAGGTAAATAAATCAGGTACAAGTAAATAACTCAGTTACAGATAAATAAATCAGGTACCGGAAAATAAATCAGTGACAGAAAAATACCTTAGAAAGTTGAGCTGTTCCATGCTTTGTTTTCTGTAGGGTAGAGCTAAGTTTGATGTATTTCAGGTGTTCCATGCTTTGTTTTCTGTAGGGTAGAGCTAAGTTTGATGTATTTCAGGTGTTCCATGCTTTGTTTTCTGTAGGGTAGAGCTGTTTGATGTATTTCAGGTGTTCCATGCTTTGTTTTCTGTAGGGTAGAGCTAAGTTTGATGTATTTCAGGTGTTCCATGCTTTGTTTTCTGTAGGGTAGAGCTAAGTTTGATGTATTTCAGGTGTTCCATGCTTTGTTTTCTGTAGGGTAGAGCTAAGTTTGATGTATTTCAGGTGTTCCATGCTTTGTTTTCTGTAGGGTAGAGCTAAGTTTGATGTATTTCAGGTGTTCCATGCTTTGTTTTCTGTAGGGTAGAGCTAAGTTTGATGTATTTCAGGTGTTCCATGCTTTGTTTTCTGTAGGGTAGAGCTAAGTTTGATGTATTTCAGGTGTTCTCTTACCTGAGATGGTCACCTGTCTGGTGCTGCTTCAACTGCGCAGTCCGCAGGTGCTGCAGGTATCCAATGCTGCTCAGCTGATGTCTCAACTCTTGGACGAACTCGACTACTTCAACCACCTGGCTCCTGGGACTGACAAGGAAGACACAGAGGATTTGGCCTGGCCTGGTGTATGGAGTAGGTCTTTCATCTCTATATACATGTGACCAACATACATCTCAACTGTCCAACATACATCTCAACTGTCCAACATACAGCTCAACTTGTCTAACATACATCTCAACTTGTCCAACATACATCTCAACTTGTCCAACATACAGTTCAACTTGTCCAACATACAGCTCAACTTGTCCAACATACAGCTCAGCTTGTCCAACATACATCTCAGCTTGTCCAACATACATCTCAGCTTGTCCAACATACATCTCAGCTTGTCCAACATACAGCTCAACTTGTCCAACATACATCTCAACTTGTCCAACATACATCTCAACTTGTCCAACATACATCTCAGCTTGTCCAACATACATCTCAACTTGTCCGACATCTCAACTTGTCCAACATACATCTCAGCTTGTCCAACATACATCTCAGCTTGTCCGACATACACCTCAACTTGTCCAACATACATCTCAACTTGTCCACCATACATCTCAACTTATCCAACATACATCTCAACTTGTCCAACATACTTCTCATACATGTCCAGCATATATCTCAACTTGTCAGACATATATCTCATACATGTCAAATCCTAACCAAACTTGACCCACTCTAGCCAATATGACCTACCCTAACCAAACTTGACCCACTCTAGCCAATATGACCTACCCTAACCAAACTTGACCCACTCTAGCCAATATGACCTACCCTAACCAAACTTGACCCACTCTAGCCAATATGACCTACCCTAACCAAACTTGACCCACTCTAGCCAATATGACCTACCCTAACCAAACTTGACCCACTCTAGCCAATATGACCTACCCTAACCAAACTTGATCTGCCCTATCCAACCTTTGATACTGTAGCAACGACCAAACTTGACCTTCCCTAGCAACCAAACTTGACCTACCCTAGCAACCAAACTTGACCTACCCTAGCAACCAAACTTGACCTACCCTATTGACTACCCTATAGCCCATGTTTGAGCAGACTGTATTATTCTAGGTTACAGCCTTGAGAAATACAGTCTGCATGCAACTGAAGATGTTCAGATGATTCGTAAGGCAGACTTAGAAAATCATAACAGGGATGGAGGCTCATGGGTGGTCATCCATGGGAAGGTTTACAATGTCCAAGCATTTAAGGCACAGGCTCAGTGTGGGGCAGAGACATTCCAAGAGTGGGCAGGTAAGTTCAAGTGCTGGGCAGAGACATCCACTCAAACCTCTCCCCACCACAAAACCTCTCCCCACCACAACACAAAACCATTAGTCAGGATCTCTGTAAAGCATTGATCTTAGATCATTACAATTTTATAACTTACTAGACCACCCGTCATCCTTGGGATAACTGTGGGTTTCGGGGGTCATCCATAAATGTCATCACTTCTATCACATATCGTCACAAAAAAACCAGACCTCACATTCAAAAAGACGTCATACCTCAGATGTTTTTATCTTTTAAAAACACAGATTTTGGCTGAGCATGGGTCTGACCACTCTATCCCTTCTTATGCTCTACTTCACCTGCCCAGTGTGTGTCCCCCCCCCCCCCCCCCCCAACTCAGACATGTTTTTGTCTTTTAAAACTCTGATTTCGGCTGAGCATGGGTCTGACCACATTATCCCTTCATATGCTGATGGCACAAGTGAACTCTACACCTACCCAACTCTACTTCTCCTGCGAAGTGTCCCGCCAAGTCTCAGACATGTTTTTATCATTTAAAAAAAAAAAGATTTCGGCCTAGCATGGCTCTGACCACACTATCCCTTCATATGCTGAGGACAAAGAAACAGGTGAATCACCTGCCCTGTATCCCGCCAAGTTCCGATAGGCAACTTTATCATTAATATCTAAAAAAAAATTGAAAAAAAACAATTTAAGATTGACATGAAGTGTCTCGAAACCATGCCACCAACATGGTAGCCTATTATACTAACATCTTAGCTATCTAGGCTCTTCATATTAGAGAAGTATTTACTGCTATATTTATATTTTGACTTATCTGCGTAAGAAACTTGATTTACGCGAATAGGCCCTAGTATTATTTCAAATTAAATTTGATCCAAAATTAAATTAGCCAATTTCATAACTAAACAAACAAAGATTTATATAAAATAATGAAGGTCTGAAATAGTTTAGTATAGAAACTCATTTTTATCTAGATCTAGAATCTAGGTAGAGTTATCTAGATCTAGATTTTACGACTTGCTTGGTTTCAGTCTAGTCTTTCCGTAGTCCTAGATCTAGAACCTAGATAGATAAATCCCATGTATTCATGAATTAGATGATCTGTGAAGCTAAAAAGCAAATAGTTATATGAAATACTAGCGTACACGTCCCCCGCGCGTTGCTGCTGCGATAGTAGAAAGTCTGATGAAATATATTAGAAGGATTTCAGCAATGCGTTACCAATCATATGTTCTTAGAAGCGTGACCTTGTTTTCTAAAACTGTGTCATTTAAATGTAAACGATGCCTCCGCTTGGATCATAATTATCGGGACACGGGTTTACCTACACGCAAATGAAATCCTTGAATGTTCGTTAATTATGAGGTAGAACAGACAAATCAAAAGTGTTTTTTAAAATTTACATTTTTTGTTGTTGGAGTGTTATAAACATCAGTGTGACTGATGCAATTTGTTAGCGTTACTAATGGGATATTATTAGAAGCATGATCTCAATTTCTGGTTGGATCGTCTAAAAGTAGATGCTAATTGCATCTTTCGCAAAGTGACGAAACTGTACAGTGGATTTTCTCACGTTACAAAGTTATTTTTAGAAGTGTGACTTTATTTTTATTTGAGTTTCCCTTCTAAACTTAATTTTTTATGTAAATATTTACATTATTTTGAGAACTGTAGGCTTTGGAATTTTTGGATATTTTATGGACAATAGGAAACAACCCAGTGTTAATAATCTAACCTTGGTTAATTTTCCTGATTATTAAAAAGAAAACGTAGTACAGGGCCCTCAGCAGCCCGCGTGACCATTTGGGGTCCGAAACTGACATTTTTGTTTGCAGCCAGATCGCACCCTACCAGCGCGCGGCTGACACGCATGATTCAATTTAGTGAGCGACCGTAACGGCCCATCTTATCCATTATCTACCCCACTGTTTAGAACAAAGGTAGGTGCCATTGCGCTCACGGAAAAGCCCAGGGCGCCAAATTGAACCCTGCAGGGCGCCGAGGGACGCGCCTGATTCGATATAGTCAATGATTATTGTTGCCCATCGTGTCTTAAGTGTATAGACTTTTTCAATAAACATAGGCGCCATAGTGCTCGCAGGGGAGCCCAGGGTCGTGCAATCTACAGGGTGCCGACGGTTGCGCCTCTTGAAGTTTTTACGCTGAGTATAGTATTACTCCTTACCCGCTATGCAAGGTGCACGATTAGCGGATGCCACATGCTCTGGAAATCTGGGCGCCAAATTGTGTTTTGATGAAAATCACACCCTTGCAGGCGCAACTCATATCATATTTTCATTATTTTGTTCACAGAAACCTTCTTGGGAGTATTCTCATCCCCTGATGAAAGGTGTCGAATCACATCTTTAATTTTTTATATACCGCAATATAGAGAAAAAATCTAACCCCCCTTGGCACCACCCCCGGAAATTTGAAAATGTTTTTTGCGCAGAAACCTCCCCAGGAGTATCCTCAACATCTTCCCAAAGTTTGATGGCGATCGTGTGAACGGTGTCACTGCAATTCACTTTTATTATTTTTATATACCGTATATAGAGAAAACTTGCACCCTCCCGTGGCGCCGCCCTTGCAAAATTAAAAATATTTTTTTTACAGAACCCTTCCCGAGAGTGTTCTAATCAACTCACCAAAGTTTCATGCCTATTGGATGAACGGTGTCAAACCAAAATCGACTTTTATTTTTATATACCATACATAGAGAAAAAACAAATCGCACCCTGCCGAATTTGAAAATTTTTTTCCCGCAGAAACCTCCCCAGTAATATTCTTAACAACTTCTCAAAAGTTTCATGGCGATGTGATAAGAGGTGTGATAATGCATAAAAGACACACACACACACACACACACACACACACACACACACACATACATTGCTTTATATATATATATATATAGATAGATAGATAGACAGACAGACAGACAGACAGACAGACAGACAGACAGACAGACAGACAGACAGACAGACAGACAGACAGACAGACAGATAGATAGATAGATAGATAGATAAGATAGATAGATAAGATAGATAAGATAGATAAGATAGATAAGATAGATAAGATAGATAGATAGATAGATAGATAGATAGATAGATAGATAGATACATAGATACATAGATACATAGATAGATAAGATAGATAGATAAGATAGATAGATAAGATAAGATAGATAAGATAAGATAGATAAGATAAGATAGATAGATAAGATAGATAGATAAGATAGATAGATAAGATAGATAGATAAGATAGATAGATAAGATAGATAGATAAGATAGATAGATAAGATAGATAGATAAGATAGATAGATAAGATAGATAGATACGATAGATAGATACGATAGATAGATACGATAGATAGATAAGATAGATAGATAAGATAGATAGATAAGATAGATAGATAAGATAGATAGATAAGATAGATAGATAAGATAGATAGATAAGATAGATAGATAAGATAGATAGATAAGATAGATAGATAAGATAGATAGATAAGATAGATAGATAAGATAGATAGATAAGATAGATAGATAAGATAGATAGATAAGATAGATAGATAAGATAGATAGATAAGATAGATAGATAAGATAGATAGATAAGATAGATAGATAAGATAGATAGATAAGATAGATAGATAAGATAGATAGATAAGATAGATAGATAAGATAGATAAGATAAGATAGATAAGATAAGATAGATAAGATAGATAAGATAAGATAGATAAGATAAGATAGATAAGATAAGATAGATAAGATAAGATAGATAAGATAAGATAAGATAGATAAGATAAGATAGATAAGATAGATAAGATAGATAAGATAGATAAGATAGATAAGATAGATAAGATAGATAAGATAGATAAGATAGATAAGATAGATAAGATAGATAAGATAGATTAGATAGATTAGATAAGATAGATAAGATTAGATTAGATTTAGATTAGAATTAGATTAGAATTAGATTAGATTAGATAGATAGAAGATTTAAGGACTAAAATAGTTTAATAAAGAAACTCAATAATTTATTATGATTTTATAATGGTTTTTATTTTCAACTAATTAATTTTGGTTTGACCTAGATTCTAGATTTTAGATCTAAGATTGACTTTCCATTCCTCTGACAAGTGATCTGTAGATCTAGAGACATTTAGTGTATACTCAAATTAGAAGAACTGTTGAAAATTTATAATAGTGTTGGAACCTAATAAAAATAGCAAAAGGACGTATCTTTAAAGCTATACCCTACAGAAAGTTAGCTTTATAATGCGTTAAACTTTTGAATGGGCACCAAAATCTTTGATGGAAGCCGCCATTATTGTTATAAAAAGTAAATAAATCATATAACGTCACTATAAGTAAATTAATTATTGTCTTTAAATAAATGTGTGATTAACAGTTTGGTCAAAAAGAACATTGTTCTCTACCTAAATACGTATTTTACAGCTCTATACATAGTGCACATTCTCTCCTCTAACCAAACAAACAAACAAAAAAATAAATATACTAACATGTAAACTTGAGTTTAAGTAGTATATAGATATATAGACTAATGTGAATTTCTTAGACATATTTTTGTTATCATCCTATAGATGAGTTATATGGGTTGTCATCCTATAGATGAGTTTTATAAGGCTATTATCATTTTCTCTAGGACGTGATGCATCTTTGGCGTTTGAAACTGCTCACCATTCTGATGAAGCCAGAGATTTGATGAACTGCTTTTATGTTGGACAATACATTGATGTAAGCTATGTTGGACATGATGAATGATGTGTTGGACAGGATGAATAATGTGTTGGACATGATGAATGATGTGTTGGACATGATGAATGATGTGTTGGACATGATGAATGATGTGTTGGACATGATGAATGATGTGTTGGACATGATGAATGATGTGTTGGACATGATGAATGATGTGTTGGACATGATGAATGATGTGTTGGACATGATGAATGATGTGTTGGACATGATGAATGATGTGTTGGACATGATGAATGATGTGTTGGACATGTTGAATGATGTGTGGGACATGATGAATGATGTGTGGGATATGATGAATGATGTGTTGGACATGATGAATGATGTGTTGGACATGATGAATGATGTGTTGGACATGATGAATGATGTGTTGGACATGATGAATGATGTGTTGGACATGATGAATGATGTGTTGGACATGATGAATGATGTGTTGGACATGATGAATGATGTGTTGGACAGGATGAATGATGTGTGGGACATGATGAATGATGTGTGGGACATGATGAATGATGTGTTGGACATGATGAATGATGTGTTGGACATGATGTAATCTGAAGAAGCTAATAAGAGAGGTACTTTTTGCAGCCAGAGAAAGATGGTGTCCAGAGTCCAGGGACAGGGTCAATGTCCTCACCACTGATAGACACAGAGAGAAGTCTGGCCATTTTACTGGGGCTAAGTGCTGCCCAACAGGTCAGTAGCATCACTGCTACCCTAACACTGCAACCCTAACACTGCTACCCTAACACTGCTACCCCTAACACTGCCACCCCTAACACTGCTACCCCTAACACTGCTACCCTAACACTGCTACCCCTAACACTGCTACCCTAACACTGCTACCCTAACACTGCTACCCTAACACTGCTACCCCTAACACTGCTACCCTAACATTACTACCCCTAACATTACTACCCCTAACACTGCTACCCCTAACACTGCTACCCTAACACTGCTACCCTAACACTGCTACCCTAACACTGCTACCCTAACACTGCTACCCTAACACTGCTACCCCTAACACTGCTACCCTAACATTACTACCCCTAACACTGCCACCCCTAACACTGCTACCCTAACACTGCTACCCTAACACTGCTACCCTAACACTGCTACCCTAACACTGCCACCCCTAACATTACTACCCCTAACACTGCTACCCCTAACACCGCTACCCCTAACACCGCCACCCCTAACACTGATACCCCTAACACTGATACCCCTAACACCGCCACCTCTAACATTGCCACCTCTAACACTGCCACCTCTAACATTGCCACCTCTAACACTGATACCCCTAACACTGATACCCCTAACACCGCCACCCCTAACATTGCCACCCCTAACACTGATACCCCTAACAATGATACCCCTAACACTGATACCCCTAACACTGATACCCCTAAATAAAATTCAAGATAGCCACCATCACCATGGAAATTGCAGGAAATTTTTGGCCATTTTTAAATTTTTAGACAACTCTTTGAATTGTAAGTAAATGCTAAATATGATAGCATTTGGTTTAGAAATAAACATTTTGGCTAATTGAGTTTTCATCACCAGCCAGTGGCATAGCTAGGATTTTAGGGCCCCTATGCAAAAAGTATCAGTTGGTCCCTTCTTCAGCCTTTAGGCTAAAATGGCTTTAAACGAAGAAATCAACTGCTACTTAAAACTTATTGTCAAAACTAGTTTGTATCCAGCTAAAATAATAAAAGATTAGTGACAGTTAAAAAGTAGTGTCCAGCGCTCGTTAAAACGAATATAGGAGCTTTAGTGCTCATGGGGGAGCCCGAGTGCAGCAGGTTACACGACCGCGGGGGCGCCGGATGTGCTATTTGATAGCTGAATCAAGAAGCTTACCCGCTGCCCTGCACACCCAAACCACGGACGCAATGTAGCCGCTGATAAAAATTTAATGGCAGAAACCTTCCCAAAAGCCAGAGTTTCTTTCAGGCACCTTTTCAGAACAATGTCTTCCCAAATTTTCTTGGCGATTGGGTGAAAATAGAAAACGTATAGTGTTTGTAGCGCCTGCCATATTGATTAACAATTAGTTAAATCAAGAAATGAAAAGTGATTAAGGTAAAAATTAGTACAAATACATTGACAAATGTTGGACTTTTCTTGTTGTGAAAACACTGTCCATGTTTGCACCACTATGTGGCAACTCTTGTGGTGTTATTAATACCCCCCCCCCCCCCCACTGAATCCCACTGCATGTACAGTAAGAAAGCAATACGTGGCCTTTTTGTTGGAACTAAAAATTAAAAATGTATTTCTACAGTAGAAAAGAAACTGGATTTTTATTTTATTTTTACAACTATTTATATAAAACAAATATTAAAATTCCAATGTAAAAGTTTAAAAAATTTTTTAAGATGGAAAAGGGCCCCTATGTGCCTTGGCCCCCTATGCCTTGCTTATGCCAGCTTTACGGTAGCTACGCCACTGTCACCAGCCCATACTCTAAGATATACTAATTATTTTGCTCAACAAATTCTTGATGTTATTATTAATTTTTCTGCCTTACAATACACATGACCCTAAATAAAACTTGAAGTAAGAATTATGAGGTCTACTACATTTTTGTGAACATCCACATGGGCTGGTAGAACCTATATTGAGAGAGTTGTTTCCCTGTACATTTTTGTGAACATCCACATGGGCTGGTTGAACCTATATTGAGAGAGTTGTTTCCCTGTACATTTTTGTGAACATCCACATGGGCTGGTTGAACCTATATTGAGAGAGTTGTTTCCCTGTACATTTTTGTGAACACCCACATGGGCTGGTTGAACCTATATTGAGAGAGTTGTTTCCCTGTACATTTTTGTGAACATCCACATGGGCTGGTTGAACCTATATTGAGAGAGTTGTTTCCCTGTACATTTTTGTGAACATCCACATGGGCTGGTTGAACCTATATTAAGAGAATTGTTTCCCTGGCAGGTTAGAAGCACAGAACTATCTCTGGATGAAGAAGAGAGCAAACAGTGGTTGCAAGCTGAGTTCTTCACTGGAGGTCTGCAGCTCCTTAGCCAAGGGGGGTATGATGAGGAGAAAGGGGAAAGCAGGAGTGCTAGTAGCTGCAACACACCAGGTCAGCATATTTTGTTACAGGTGTGAAGATTTACTGGTCAGTTACAGGTGGGAAGATTTAGTGGTCAATTACAGGTGTGGAGATTTAGTGGTCAATTACACATACTTAAAAATGTGTGTATTCCCCACTTGAAGATGCTGCACCTACTTATGAATGTGGGTAGTCCCCACTTGAAGGTGCCACACCAACTTATGAATGTGTGTATTCCCCACTTGAAGGTGCCGCACCTACTTATGAATGTGTGTATTCCCCACTTGAAGGTGCCACACCTACTTATGAATGTGTGTATTCCCCACTTGAAGGTGCCACACCAACTCATGAATGTGTGTATTCCCCACTTGAAGGTGCCACACCAACTCATGAATGTGTGTATTCCCCACTTGAAGGTGCCGCACCTACTTATGAATGTGTGTATTCCCCACTTGAAGGTGCCACACCTACTTATGAATGTGTGTATTCCCCACTTGAAGGTGCCACACCTACTTATGAATGTGTGTATTCCCCACTTGAAGGTGCCACACCTACTTATGAATGTGTGTATTCCCCACTTGAAGGTGCTACACCTACTTATGAATGTGTGTATTCCCCACTTGAAGGTGCCACACCTACTTATGAATGTGTGTATTCCCCACTTGAAGGTTCCACACCTACTTATGAATGTGTGTATTCCCCACTTGAAGGTGCCACACCTACTTATGAATGTGTGTATTCCCCACTTGAAGGTGCCACACCAACTCATGAACAAGCGAATGTGCCCCAGAGTGTCATTGATAAAGAGAGAAGATTGGAAGCTGAGCAGGCCAATACAGACACAGCTCAAACCTTTCTGAGTGCTCTGGCAGAGTCTAGAACTCAAGACTCCACTGTTAAGGTCAGCCATCTTGTCCTTAGCCTTTGTTAGGCTAACCTGGTGGAAATATTGTTAGTCATTGAGCTTGAATAAGTTTTTCTTTTGTGGCCAGATGTTCCTGAGCCTGGTGGAGACTTACTGCAGGACACACCATCTGCTCTTCCCATTTGACTTCCCATCTGATCATCCCATAGAGGAAGTTGGGAGGTTTGTGCTGGCGCATTGTACCTCTGTAGTCTATGCTACCTCTGTAGTCTGTGCTACCTCAGTAGTCTATGCTACCTCAGTAGTCTATGCTACCTCAGTAGTCTGTGCTACCTCTGTAGTCTATGTTACCTCTGTAGTCTATGCTACCTCTGTAGTCTATGCTACCTCTGTAGTCTATGCTACCTCTGTAGTCTGTGTAGTCTATGCTACCTCTGTAGTCTATGCTACCTCTGTAGTCTATGCTACCTCTGTAGTCTGTGCTACCTCTGTAGTCTATGCTACCTCTGTAGTATGTGTAGTCTATGCTTCCTCTGTAGTCTATGCTACCTCTGTAGTCTATGCTACCTCTGTAGTCTATGCTACCTCTGTAGTCTATGCTACCTCTGTAGTCTATGCTACCTCTGTAGTCTATGCTACCTCTGTAGTTTGTGTAGTCTATGCTACCTCTGTAGTCTGTTCTACGTCATTAGTCTATGCTACCTCTGTAGTCTATGCTACCTCTGTAGTCTATGCTACCTCTGTATTCTATGCTACCTCAGTAGTCTATGCTACCTCTGTAGTCTATGCTACCTCTGTAGTCTATGCTACCTCTGTATTCTATGCTACCTCAGTAGTCTATGCTACCTCAGTAGTCTATGCTACCTCTGTAGTCTATGCTACCTCTGTAGTCTATGCTACCTCTGTATTCTATGCTACCTCAGTAGTCTATGCTACCTCAGTAGTCTATGTTACCTCTGTAGTCTATGCTACCTCTGTATTCTATGCTACCTCAGTAGTCTATGCTACCTTAGTAGTCTATGTTACCTCTGTAGTCTATGCTACCTCTGTATTCTATGCTACCTCTGTATTCTATGCTACCTCAGTAGTCTATGCTACCTCTGTAGTCTATGCTACCTCTGTAGTCTATGCTACCTCTGTATTCTATGCTACCTCAGTAGTCTATGCTACCTCTGTAGTCTATGCTACCTCTGTATTCTATGCTACCTCTGTATTCTATGCTACCTCAGTAGTCTATGCTACCTCAGTAGTCTATGTTACCTCTGTAGTCTATGCTACCTCAGTAGTCTGTTCTATGTTATTAGTCTATGCTACCTTATTGTGCTATAATGACCTCTATGATTGTAAACAAAGCTCTTTGACTGTAGTTTAAGCTAAGTAATTGTAGCTTAAGCTCTGAGATTGTAGATTAAGCTCTGTGATTGTAGATTAAGCTCTGTGATTGTAGATTAAGCTATGTGATTGTAGCTTAAGCTCTGTGATGAAATATTAAGCTCTGTAATTGTAGATTACTACTGGCTGTCCTACTGAAACACTGTGACCTGGGCTATGTGGTGCTGAGTTTGGTAGAGAGTGGACAAAGTGGGAGCAAGCTGGCCATGCCCAAATCAATGGCAGAGTTGTGTAGAGTTGTATGTCAGACCAAACGCTCACTCATAAAGGTAGGTTGTTGTCAGACCAAACGCTCACTCATAAAGGTAGGTTTATGTCAGACCAAACACTCACTCATAAAGGTAGGTTGTTGTCAGACCAAACGCTCACTCATAAAGGTAGGTTTTTGTCAGACCAAACACTCACTCATAAAGGTAGGTTTATGTCAGACCAAACACTCACTCATAAAGGTAGGTTTTTGTCAGACCAAACGCTCACTCATAAAGGTAGGTTTATGTCAGACCAAACACTCACTCATAAAGGTAGGTTTTTGTCAGACCAAACGCTCACTCATAAAGGTAGGTTTTTGTCAACTCACACATAAAGGTAGGTTTATGTCAGACCAAACGCTCACTCATAAAGGTAGGTTTTTGTCAGACCAAACGCTCACTCATAAAGGTAGGTTTATGTCAGACCAAACGCTCACTCATAAAGGTAGGTTTATGTCAGACCAAACACACTCATAAAGGTAGGTTTTTGTCAACTCACACATAAAGGTAGGTTTATGTCAGACCAAACACTCACTCATAAAGGTAGGTTTATGTGAGACCAAACACTCACTCATAAAGGTAGGTTTATGTCAGACCAAACACTCACTCATAAAGGTAGGTTTATGTCAGACCAAACACTCACTCATAAAGATAGGTTTGTCAGACCAAACACTCACTCATAAAGGTAGGTTTATGTCAGACCAAACACTCACTCATAAAGGTAGGTTTGTCAGACCAAACACTCACTCATAAAGGTAGGTTTTTGTCATAGCTCAACTCACACATAGGTAGGTTTTTGTCATCGATCCTGAGGAATATGTAGACCAACCTATGTCCACACATACTTCTGCCAAGGACCTAGGTAGGTAGGTGTGGACATTGGTAGGTGTGGACATAGGTAGGTGTGGACATAGGTAGGTGTGGACATTGGTAGGTGTGGACATAGGTAGGTGTGGACATTGGTAGGTGTGGACATAGGTAGGTGTGGACATTGGTAGGTGTGGACATTGGTAGGTGTGGACATTGGTAGGTGTGGACATTGGTAGGTGTGGACATTGGTAGGTGTGGACATTGGTAGGTGTGGACATTGAGATAGTAGTGTAAAGATCTTGTCCCCTGGCCCACCAAGATAGTAGTGTAAAGATCTTGTCCCCTGGCCCACCAAGATAGTAATGTAAAGATCTTGTCCCCTGGCCCACCAAGATAGTAGTGTAAAGATCTTGTCCCCAGGCCCACCAAGATAGTAGTGTAAAGATCTTGTCCCCAGGCCCACCAAGATAATAAAGATCTTGTCCCCTGGCCCACCACGATAGTAGTGTAAAGATCTTGTCCCCAGGCCCACCAAGATAGTAGTGTAAAGATCTTGTCCCCAGGCCCACCAAGATAGTAGTGTAAAGATCTTGTCCCCTGGCCCACCAAGATAATAAAGATCTTGTCCCCTGGCCCACCAAGATAATAAAGATCTTGTCCCCAGGCCCACCAAGATAGTAGTGTAAAGATCTTGTCCCCTGGCCCACCAAGATAGTAGTGTAAAGATCTTGTCCCCAGGCCCACCAAGATAATAAAGATCTTGTCCCCAGGCCCACCAAGATAATAAAGATCTTGTCCCCTGGCCCACCAAGATAATAAAGATCTTGTCCCCAGGCCCACCAAGATAGTAGTGTAAAGATCTTGTCCCCAGGCCCACCAAGATAATAAAGATCTTGTCCCCAGGCCCACCAAGATAGTAGTGTAAAGATCTTGTCCCCAGGCCCACCAAGATAGTAGTGTAAAGATCTTGTCCCCAGGCCCACCAAGATAATAAAGATCTTGTCCCCAGGCCCACCAAGATAGTAGTGTAAAGATCTTGTCCCCAGGCCCACCAAGATAGTAGTGTAAAGATCTTGTCCCCAGGCCCACCAAGATAATAAAGATCTTGTCCCCTGGCCCACCAAGATAGTAGTGTAAAGATCTTGTCCCCAGGCCCACCAAGATAGTAGTGTAAAGATCTTGTCCCCAGGCCCACCAAGATAGTAGTGTAAAGATCTTGTCCCCTGGCCCACCAAGATAATAAAGATCTTGTCCCCTGGCCCACCAAGATAATAAAGATCTTGTCCCCAGGCCCACCAAGATAGTAGTGTAAAGATCTTGTCCCCTGGCCCACCAAGATAATAAAGATCTTGTCCCCTGGCCCACCAAGATAATAAAGATCTTGTCCCCAGGCCCACCAAGATAGTAGTGTAAAGATCTTGTCCCCTGCCCCACCAAGATAGTAGTGTAAAGATCTTGTCCCCAGGCCCACCAAGATAATAAAGATCTTGTCCCCAGGCCCACCAAGATAATAAAGATCTTGTCCCCTGGCCCACCAAGATAATAAAGATCTTGTCCCCAGGCCCACCAAGATAGTAGTGTAAAGATCTTGTCCCCTGGCCCACCAAGATAATAAAGATCTTGTCCCCTGGCCCACCAAGATAATAAAGATCTTGTCCCCAGGCCCACCAAGATAGTAGTGTAAAGATCTTGTCCCCAGGCCCACCAAGATAATAAAGATCTTGTCCCCAGGCCCACCAAGATAGTAATGTAAAGATCTTGTCCCCTGGCCCACCAAGATAGTAATGTAAAGATCTTGTCCCCAGGCCCACCAAGATAATAAAGACGTTGTCCCCAGGCCCACCAAGATAATAAAGATCTTGTCCCCAGGCCCACCAAGATAATAAAGATCTTGTCCCCAGGCCCACCAAGATAAAGATCTTGTCCCCAGGCCCACCAAGATAATAAAGATCTTGTCCCCTGGCCCACCAAGATAATAAAGATCTTTTCCCCAGGCCCACCAAGATAGTAGTGTAAAGATCTTGTCCCCTGGCCCACCAAGATAGTAGTGTAAAGATCTTGTCCCCAGGCCCACCAAGATAAAGATCTTGTCCCCAGGCCCACCAAGATAGTAGTGTAAAGATCTTGTCCCCAGGCCCACCAAGATAATAAAGATCTTGTCCCCAGGCCCACCAAGATAATAAAGATCTTGTCCCCAGGCCCACCAAGATAATAAAGATCTTGTCCCCAGGCCCACCAAGATAATAGTGTAATGATCTTATCCCCAGGCCCACCAGGACCAAGGCAGGTCCTACAAGGAAGTGTGTGCACCTGTCATTGAGCGCTGTCTCTTTCTCTTCAATGAGCTGCGTCCAGCCTGCGGGGATGAGTTGAACCTTCTGACCCGCTCCAGTTTGCTGAGGTCAGTTCCCAGATGGAGGGAGGTCATCACCAGACTCCTGGAGGACAAGAAGAAAAGTAAAACCTTACAGCATCACTTTTTGTTACAAGTCACTTGATTCACTCAAGTCAGTTCAAAGTCAGTTGATTCTCTCAAGTCAGTTAAAAGTCAGTTGATTCACTCAAGTCAGTTAAAAGTCAGTTGATTCACTTGTCAGTTAAAAGTCAGTTGATTCACTCAGGTCAGTTAAAAGTCAGTTGATTCACTCAAGTCAGTTAAAAGTCAGTTGATTCTCTCAAGTCAGTTGATTGAGTCATGCCCCAGTGTAAACCATTTGTATTGTTACTTGTCCAATCTTGAGAGTTTGTTTTTTCTGCAGATAAGATGGAAGAAAATGTAGATGAGGACAAAGAGAGTGAAGAGACAGACTCTCTGTTAGGTGAGGCTGTAGGGGGGGAGGGGGACGCTAAGGATAGCGAGGAGAAAGAAGGTGTGTCACAGGGCAAGGAGATGAAAGAAAATGATGAGAGGGAAGAGAAGCAGGAGATGGACATCAAGAAGGAGGACAGTGCTGGGGATGTCCTGGCCATAGAGGACATCAAGATTGAGGAGAAGGACCTACAAACCAAGGAAAGAAAAAATAGTAGAAAACCACCTGCCAAAGATAAAGATGTAAGTTATCTAGCAAATGACATGAAATGTGATGTCAAATTGTGACACAATAAAGTGTAAGTGACTGATTAAATAAAATATTATGTAACTTGACATGTGAGTGATGTCAAAAAACATTTGACCTGACCTGTGATGTCACAAAACTTGTGACCTGACCTGTGATGTCACAAAACTTGTGACCTGACCTGTGATGTCACAAATCTTGTGACCTGACCTGTGATGTGACAAAACTTGTGACCTGACCTGTGATGTGACAAAACTTGTGACCTGACCTGTGATGTGACAAACTGGTTTGTTGCAGGAAGACCCCTGGGAGCAGGTGGTTAAAGTGATCACAAACAGCCAGAAGATGCGCTGGTTGAGGCAGAGGATGACCGGCTGTAAGGCAGAGATGACTCTGGTCAATCGTATTGTGGACTTTGTACTGTACCAGCACCCTGTGGACATTGAAAAACTGCGCAGATCTCTTCACCATCAGGTCTGCTCAGCTCAATTATCTCATATGGAAAGCCCCTCATTTTCTTACTGCTCTGATCATTTCAATAGATGTGTTGTATTTTGTAGGTAACCAGAGCTGAGCTTAGACTTCAGGGTATCCAAAACATCCTGGCTCTAGTGTACAAGCAGCATCTGATTCCATCTGTCAAATACAGCATCTTGTGTGGATGGCAGGGACTTCGAACAGTCGCCTCCAAGCAACAGTCAGCCATTGAAGTTTTTTCTAGCTTACAATAACTTTATACCATACTAACAACAACTTTATACCATTCTACAACAACTTTCTACCATTCTACAACAACTTTCTATCATTCTACAACAACTTTCTACCATTCAACAACAACTTTCTACCATTCTACAACAACTTTCTACCATTCAACAACAACTTTCTGCAATTCTACAACAACATTCTACTATTCAACAACAACTTTCTACAATTCAACAACAACTTTCTACAATTCTACAACAACTTTCTATAATTCAACAACAACTTTCTACAATTCGACAACAACTTTCTACAATTCAACAACTTTCTATCTTACAACAATCCTAGCCTAGACTCCTTGTAGAAAAGCTTTTTTCTCCCCAGCTCCCCCCTCCCCCACTGCTTAACAGATGTGAAACTGATCCCCCCTTGTGATCGCATTCTTCTGGAGATGACATTTGCAGAGCTGTACAGATGGGCAGTCCAGGAGCTGCGGCAACATGTCCTCCAGGCAGACCTCATGTTCAAACTTCGTGGCATTAACCCAGCTCTTGTCTGCACTCCATCAGGAACTAAGGTTAGTCACCTCGTCTACAGGTCAATTTCAGCAGCAATGTGAAGCCCTGAGTTGGATGAGAAGCCCGCCTGAGTTGGATGAGAAGCCCTGAGTTGGATGAGAAGCCCTGAGTTGGATGAGAAGTCCTGAGTTGGATGAGAAGCCCGCCTGAGTTGGATGAGAAGTCCTGAGTTGGATGAGAAGCCCTGAGTTGGATGAGAAGTCCTGAGTTGGATGAGAAACCCTGAGTTGGATGAGAAGCCCTGAGGATGAGAAACCCTGAGTTGGATGAGAAGCCCTGAGGATGAGAAACCCTGAGTTGGATGAGAAGCCCTGAGTTGGATGAGAAGCCCTGAGTTGGATGAGAAGCCCTGAGGATGAGAAGCCCTGAGTTGGATGAGAAGCCCTGAGGATGAGAAACCCTGAGTTGGATGAGAAGCCCTGAGCTGGATCTTCTTCTTCGTTCTTAATTTTTAGTGTTGGAAGCGATCGAGCCTTATCTGCCAGTAGGTTTGAACTCGAGACTTGTTTTCGAATTTATCAACCATGAGCGTTGCCGACTCGACCATGCTTCCATCACAATTAAGGATCTGTGTCAACTGGTTATGCGCCATTGAGGCCATTGACTACGATTTCAGCTTGCTTTTCTTTTTGGATTTGCTTCCATAGCCTTTGTCCAACTAAGAACAAACTACAAGGCAGCAGTTGTTTAATTTTGGAGTTGTCTCTCCTAGAAGAGTGGCTGTCCCCAGCTAATGAGCCTCATCTGCCCAAGGGTTCGAACTTGAGACTTTTCGGTTTAGCAACCATGAGCTGTACCGACTCGACCACGCCAACCCCCATGAGCTGGATGAGAAGCCCAGAAAATCTTTCTTCTGTTAAAGAAATTAAAAATTATTTTTTTTAAAAAGTAGTGAAAATGAGGGGCGAAAATGTCTTTAACGTCTAGCATTATGATTAGATTAAGTAGGTTAGATATCAATCTTGTCATTTACACTTTCAATTTGAATTGTATTCACATTCCAAATAGTTTTACACTTTTTTTTTATTCCTCAAGGAACGTCTGAGTTTGGGTGCCCTCCCTTGTTCAAGGTTTCTGTTGGCCACACTTGGCCTACTGGTGGCAGAACACTACTCCAACAGCCTTAGTCTTCTCTTCAACTCTGGTCTTCTGGCCCTCACACAGAGTATTCTAAGACTTGCAGGTACCTGCTTTTCAAACTCATCAATTGCAGCTCCCAAGTCACAAAATTAGTTGATACTTGTTTGTGAACACTTAAGCACACCAGTAGTGAATATTTGTATTGGCATATATTCTACAACATTTGTATTGGCACATATTCTACATTTGTATTGGCACATGTTCTACATTTGTATTGGCACATATTCTACATTTGTATTGGCACATATTCTGCAACATTTGTATTGGCACATATTCTACAACATTTGTATTGGCACATATTCTACAACATTTGTAATGGCACATATTCTACATTTGTATTGGCACATATTCTACATTTGTATTGGCACATATTCTACATTTGTATTGGCACATATTCTGCAACATTTGTATTGGCACATATTCTACAACATTTGTATTGGCACATGTTCTACAACATTTGTATTGGCACATGTTCTACAACATTTGTATTGGCACATATTCTACATTTGTATTGGCACATGTTCTACAACATTTGTATTGGCACATGTTCTACAACATTTGTATTGGCACATGTTCTACAACATTTGTATTCGCATATATTCTACAACATTTGTATTGGCACATATTCTACATTTGTATTTGCACATATTCTACATTTGTATTGGCACATATTCTACAACATTTGTATTGGCACATATTCTACAACATTTGTATTGGCACATATTCTACATTTGTATTGGCACATATTCTACATTTGTATTGGCACATATTCTACAACATTTGTATTGGCACATGTTCTACAATATTTGTATTGGCACATATTCTACATTTGTATTGGCACATGTTCTACAACATTTGTATTGGCATATATTCTACAACATTTGTATTGGCACATATTCTACATTTGTATTGGCACATATTCTACATTTGTATTGGCACATATTCTGCAACATTTGTATTGGCACATATTCTACAACATTTGTATTGGCACATATTCTACAACATTTGTATTGGCACATATTCTACATTTGTATTGGCACATATTCTACATTTGTATTGGCACATATTCTACAACATTTGTATTGGCACATGTTCTACAACATTTGTATTGGCACATGTTCTACAACATTTGTATTGGCACATGTTCTACAACATTTGTATTGGCACATATTCTACATTTGTATTGGCACATATTCTACATTTGCATTGGCACATATTCTACAACATTTGTATTGGCACATATTCTACATTTGTATTGGCACATGTTCTACAACATTTGTATTGGCACATGTTCTACAACATTTGTATTGGCACATGTTCTACAACATTTGTATTGGCATATATTCTACAACATTTGTATTGTGTTATGTCCGACCTCCGACAGCCGCGGAGGAAGCGGACGCCCCAGGTTCGTTTGGTATGGTACCGATAGAAGACGTTGTAACGGAATCTCAACAACTTGCCGTGAGCTCGTTAATGCAGTCTAGGGGTAAATCACGACAAATCAAAGAGACTCACACGCCTTAAACTATGAATACCTTTTTAATTTATGTACAAGATAATGACACTAGGTAAGATCAAAATGTACAGATTCTCAGTGTAATATAAATAAACTCAACTCCAACTTACAGTTTGAGAAAAATCACAATATCACAGCTGTGATAAATCATTACTACACACAACTGAATTGCCTCATAATAATTACAACAAAAGACCAAGGAGAGACAATTTGCCTCTACAACAATAGAAATCCTTATACAGGTTAAACTATCACCGATAGTCAAAAAGGTGTAATAATACACCAGAACACACATTCAGTAAACTACAACTAGTCACATAATCCCTTATACAAAAGGTGAAAATAATGTCACATAATGACCATACTGCAAAATGGCGTACCTAACCACAGGCACACCTCTCCTGGTCCCTAGGTCAATCTGGCGGCCTCTGGACTTGAAAATCCCGTGATTAAATACAACTCAGAGTAAGGGGAAATAACTCAAAAGTCTTACGACTATTGGTTGAGGGTCAGTCAAGGATCCTCACGGTCGCAAGTCCATTGGATGAGGTTCTGCCAGGGATTAAACTTACAATCACATGATGTGACAGCGTTCAGTTGACCGGGTTGTACCAGTGAACTGACAATTCTCCCAAGGACAAATACAACTCAGGAGATTAAATATATATAAAGCCAAACAGACCTAAGTAGGTCACAATTGGCACATATTCTACATTTGTATTGGCACATATTCTACATTTGTATTGGCACATATTCTACATTTGTATTGGCACATATTCTACAACATTTGTATTGGCACATATTCTACATTTGTATTGGCACATATTCTACATTTGTATTGGCACATATTCTACAACATTTGTATTGGCACATGTTCTACATTTGTATTGGCACATATTCTACATTTGTATTGGCACATATTCTACAACATTTGTATTGGCACATGTTCTACAACATTTGTATTGGCACATGTTCTACATTTGTATTGGCACATGTTCTACACCATTGTATTGGCACATGTTCTACAACATTTGTATTGGCACATATTCTACATTTGTATTGGCACATATTCTACAACATTTATATTGGCATATATTCTACAGCATTTGTATTAGCACATATTCTACATTTGTATTGGCACATATTCTACAACATTTGTATTGGCATAAATTCTACAGCATTTGTATTGGCACATATTCTACAACAATACTAGCATATATTCTACAATATATGTATTGGGCATATTCAACAGCATTTGTGTTGGCACATATTCTTTGTTTCTTTACATGGGAATAGGCAAAATTAGGATATAATTTAATTAAAACAAGATTTTATAAATATTGTTAAAGTATTCCGCAGTGCTCAAAAACCTAGAATACAATTATAATTCAGTCTGTATTTATCACGAAGCCCGGTCAAGGTACTGTTATGGGGCCTACTTAATTTTGTTATTCTCCTTTTGTTGGTGAACTATGGTTCCAGATGCAAGCATCATCCCCAGTGTCTAGGACCCTTTTCTTCACAGTATAGGGGTAACATTTTCTTCACAGTATAGGGGTAACATTTTCTTCACAGTATAGGGGTAACATTTTCTTCACATTATAGGGGTAACATTTTCTTCACAGTATAGGGGTAACATTTTCTTCACAGTATAGGGGTAACATTTTCTTCACATTATAGGGGTAACATTTTCTTCACAGTATAGGGGTAACATTACCCACATTAAAACACCATCACACCATAGCCTACATGGGACATTAGCCAGAACATCTTGTGTATATATATATATATATAAGTTTATATTTATGTATTGATATGTATGTATTAAATATACTCACTCATATACACATATACTCACTCATATACACATATAAACATATATATATATATATATATGTATACATATATATGTATACATATATATATATATATCTATATATATCTAATATATAAAGCTCAATTCTGTAACGCATATGTTTGTCGTTGGCATTTCTACGGATTTAAGTGTTAGATCAATTATCGTGCGCAGTTGTCTAAATTTATGAGTTAAAAAATTACTATTAAAAGTGTTGGGAAATCATTTTCATTTTTCAAATTATAGTAATAATTGTCGGCATGTTCATTAAACACAAGTTTTAAAAAAATATCATCTTTTACAAAAATTCTAATTATGTTTTTATTTAGTCCTATAGCGCTTACTTCCCTTTGATAAATTAGGCAAAACACAATTACTTCCCTTTATGAAACCATTGCATTAGTTGAAAAGCATTTACTTTTTAATTACTTTGTTTTGGTGTTGGGAAAAAAATAATTACATAATTAGCGGGGATTGATCAAGTGCAAATGTTTTAGGTATTTTACGGATAAGCTTGGAGTATTATAATTGTTCATTAAATTGAAACAGGCGCGTTCGTTTAAGTGAGTGCAAAAACTATGAATAAGTTGGGGTACTATAGTCGTTTATTAAGCTAAAACAGGCGATTCTGCCCCGGGCGTTTATGTTCGCGTTAGTGTTTTCTTTGTGTTTAGGTGGGTTTGCGTTAGTGGTTGCGTTTTGATTTGGTTCGTTTTTGTTCTTTCTTTTTTCGTTTTTGTTTGTGTTTTTTTTGTTTGGGTTTGTATTTGTGTTTTTGGTTGGTTTTGCGTTTGGATTTGGTTTGTTTTCGTTCTTTCTTTTTTCGTTTTTGTTTGTGTTTTTTTGTTTGGGTTTGTATTTGTGTTTTTGGTTGGTTTTGCGTTTGGATTTGGTTTGTTTTCGTTTGCTTTTTCGTTTTTTTTTTTTTTTGTTGGTATTGGTGTTTGTGGTTGGGTTTGTTGTTAGGTTTTTGTTTTCGTTTGCTTTTTTGTTTGTTTTTTCTTTGTGTTTGTATTGGTGTTTGTGGTTGTGGTTGGGTTTGTTGTTAGGTTTTTGTTTTCGTTTGTATTTGTAATTGTGTTAGCGTTATGTTTGCGTTTTGTTGTTTTGGTTGGTTGTGGTTTGGGTGGGCAATGCCGGGTTTATGATGATTACTAAACACACAGGTAATGGTCGTTAACAGAAAGGTTTTTCACAGAAGCCAGAGCAGGGCCTGGCCGGGACGGCTAGTATATATATATATATATATATATATATATATATATATATATATATAAACTATATAAACATATATACATATGTGTGTGTGTGTAAATATAATTTGATTTTTTGCCGGCATAGTTTATGAAGTGTGAACTGTAACTTGTCAGGTCCAGAGCCAGACTTGCCAGTCCCAGACAACTGTAACACCATCTTCACCATCCCCGAGGAACAGTTCAATAAGAAAAGTGCCCAGACCATGCCAATGGCAGGCCCAGAGCTGGCTGCCATGATGAAAGTTGGAACCAGAGTTATGAGGGGAGTCGATTGGAAGTGGGGAGATCAGGTTAGGACACATTTGATTGGGGAGGTTAGGACACATGTGATTGGAAGTGGGGAGATCAGTTTAGGACACATTTGATTGGGGAGGTTAGGACACATGTGATTGGAAGTGAGGAGATCAGGTTAGGACACATTTGATTGGGGAGGTTAGGACACATGTGATTGGAAGTGGGGAGATCAGGTTAGGACACATTTGATTGGGGAGATCATGTTAGGTCACATTTGATTGGGGAGATCAGGTTAGGACACATTTGATTGGGGAGATCAGGTTAGGTCACATTTGATTGTGGAGATAAGGTTAGGACACGTTTGATTGGAAGTGGGGAGATCAGGTTAGGACACATTTGATTGGGGAGATCAGGTTAGGACACATTTGATTGGGGAGATCATGTTAGGACACATTTGATTGGGGAGATCAGGTTAGGACACATTTGATTGGAAGTGGGGAGATCAGGTAAGGACACATTTGATTGGGGAGATCAGGTTAAGACACATTTGATTGGGGAGATCAGGTTAGGACACATTTGATTGGGGAGATCAGATTAGGACACGTTTGATTGGGGAGATCAGGTTAGGACTCATTTGATTGGGGAGATCAGGTTAGGACACATTTGATTGGGGAGATCAGGTTAGGACATGTTTGATTGTGGAGATCAGGTTAGGACACGTTTGATTGGGGAGATCAGGTTAGGACACATTTGATTGGGGAGATCAGGTTAGGACATGTTTGATTGTGGAGATCAGGTTAGGACACGTTTGATTGGGGAGATCAGGTTAGGACACATTTGATTGGGGAGATCAGGTTAGGACACGTTTGATTGGGGAGATCAGGTAAGGACACATTTGATTGGGGAGATCAGGTTAGGACACATTTGATTGGGGAGATCAGGTTAGGACACGTTTGATTGGGGAGATCAGGTTAGGACACATTTGATTGGGGAGATCAGGTTAGGACACATTTGATTGGAAGTGGGGAGATCAGGTTAGGACACATTTGATTGTGGAGATCAGGTTAGGACACATTTGATTGGAAGTGGGGAGATCATGTTAGGACACATTTGATTGGAAGTGGGGAGATCAGGTTAGGACACATTTGATTGGGGAGATCAGGTTAGGACACGTTTGATTGGGGAGATCAGGTTAGGACACATTTGATTGGGGAGATCAGGTTAGGACACATTTGATTGTGGAGATAAGGTTAGGACACGTTTGATTGGAAGTGGGGAGATCAGGTTAGGACACGTTTGATTAGGGAGATCAGGTTAGGACACATTTGATTGGGGAGATCAGGTTAGGACACATTTGATTGGGGAGATCAGGTTAGGACGCATTTGATTGTGGAGATCAGGTTAGGACACATTTGATTGGGGAGATCAGGTTAGGACACATTTGATTGGGGAGATCAGATTAGGACACATTTGATTGGGGAGATCAGGTAAGGACACATTTGATTGGGGAGATCATGTTAGGACACATTTGATTGGGGAGATCAGGTTAGGACACATTTGATTGGGGAGATCATGTTAGGACACATTTGATTGGGGAGATCAGGTTAGGACACATTTGATTGGAAGTGGGGAGATCAGGTAAGGACACATTTGATTTGGGAGATCAGGTTAAGACACATTTGATTGGGGAGATCAGGTTAGGACACATTTGATTGGGGAGATCAGATTAGGACACATTTGATTGGGGAGATCAGGTTAGGACATATTTGATTGGGGAGATCAGGTTAGGACACATTTGATTGGGGAGATCAGGTTAGGACATGTTTGATTGTGGAGATCAGGTTAGGACACGTTTGATTGGGGAGATCAGGTTAGGACACATTTGATTGGGGAGATCAGGTTAGGACACGTTTGATTGGGGAGATCAGGTAAGGACACATTTGATTGGGGAGATCAGGTTAGGACACATTCGATTGGGGAGATCAGGTTAGGACACGTTTGATTGGGGAGATCAGGTTAGGACACATTTGATTGGGGAGATCAGGTTAGGACACATTTGATTGGGGAGATCAGGTTAGGACACGTTTGATTGGGGAGATCAGGTTAGGACACATTTGATTGGGGAGATCAGGTTAGGACGCATTTGATTGGGGAGATCAGGTTAGGACGCATTTGATTGGGGAGATCAGGTTAGGACACATTTGATTGGGGAGATCAGGTTAGGACACGTTTGATTGGGGAGATCAGGTTAGGACACGTTTGATTGGGGAGATCAGGTAAGGACACATTTGATTGGGGAGATCAGGTTAGGACACGTTTGATTGGGGAGATCAGGTTAGGACATGTTTGATTGTGGAGATCAGGTTAGGACACGTTTGATTGGGGAGATCAGGTTAGGACACGTTTGATTGGGGAGATCAGGTTAGGACACGTTTGATTGGGGAGATCAGGTTAGGACACGTTTGATTGGGGAGATCAGTTTAGGACACGTTTGATTGGGGAGATCAGGTAAGGACACGTTTGATTGGGGAGATCAGGTTAGGACACGTTTGATTGGGGAGATCAGGTTAGGACATGTTTGATTGTGGAGATCAGGTTAGGACACGTTTGATTGGGGAGATCAGGTTAGGACACGTTTGATTGGGGAGATCAGGTAAGGACACGTTTGATTGGGGAGATCAGGTTAGGACACGTTTGATTGGAAGTGGGGAGATCAGGTTAGGACACATTTGATTGGGGAGATCAGGTTAGGACACGTTTGATTGGGGAGATCAGGTTAGGACACATTTGATTGGGGAGATCAGGTTAGGACACGTTTGACAAGGGTTAGCTGGTCTTATATCTATTTTTTTACCCTGTCCATTACCCTCCCATAATATATAAATTAAATGTTGTTTTTTTCTTAATGGCTTCCATGTGCTTGCAGATCAGTTGATTGTATTAGTTGATAAGGTCATGTATTGATTCTATCTCTTTAGGATGGCCCTCCTCCCAGCCTGGGTCATGTGATTGGAGAGTTGGGAGAAGATGGTTGGATCCGTGTCCAGTGGGACACAGGTAGCACCAACAGCTACAGGATGGGCAAGGAGGGCAAGTATGACCTCAAGCTGGCCCAGATGCCAGAACTAGATGACAATGATGAGGATGAAGAGGAGGAAGAAGTTGAGAGTGGTAACTACTGCACACAGCTAGATATTTGCAATTTTAACATGTTTAAAGTAATTTGACAAACATATGCGATAAACCTTTTCTCACAATTATTATGTGTAAAAAATTGTAAGTAAATTCCTAAGACAATCAATTTTTGGTTAAATTCAACTAAAATAACCTCAAATACTAAACATATTTTGTTTGAGATATAGGGGTCGGCGTGGTCGAGTCGGTAAAGCTCATGGTTGCTAAACCGAAAAGTCGCGAGTTCGAACCCTCGGGCAGATGAGGCTCGTTAGCTGGGGACAGCCACTCTTCTAGGAGAGACAACTCCAAAATTAAACAACTGCTGCCTTGTAGTTTGTTCTTGGTTGGACAAAGGCTATGGAAGCAAATCCAAAAAGAAAAGCAGGCTGAAATCGGAGTCAATGGCCTCAATGGCGCATAACCAGTTGACACGTAACGCTTAATTGTGTTGGAGGCGTGGTCGAGTCGGCAAAAAGCTCAAGGAAGATAAATTCGAACAAAGTCTCGAGATCAAACCCACTGGCAGATAAATCTCGATCCCCTCCACACTAATAATTAAGAACGAAGAAGAAGAAGAAGAAGTTTGAGATATTTTGTCTGAGATCATATTTCCAAGGTATCATTTGTCCTGATAACTTTTGTTCATGAGATCACTTGTCCTTGATATCATTTGTCCTGAGATAATTTGTCTGAGATATTTTGTCTGGGATATTTTGTCCTGAAATCATTTGTCATGGAACCCATAGAAATATGCTTTCTAGACTGACACTGTCATATAACTATCCTATGAAAAAGACCAATTTCCATAGAAATGTGGACAGTAAAGACACTTGATAAAAAAATGTTTTGGCCCAGAAACCAAGCATCCAGAAAGTAAACACCCTACAAGCCTGATCAGAAGCTCCAGCATTGGCCTGCTCAAAGTGCTGTCCCTGTGTGCGGGCATACATGCTGAACACTGTCAACCTGAGTCCATTGCTGCACTCTGTGGACTTATGCTGAGTATTGTTGATGCTGGCTGCAACTATGGTCCAAGTAAGATCTTATCCACAGTACACAACCTGTTTGTAGTATGATATCCACAGTACACAACCTGTTAGATATTATGCACAGTACACAACATGTTTGTAGTATGTTATCTACTGTACACAACCTGTTTGTTGGATGTTATCCACAGTACACAAACTGTTTGTTGGATGTTATCTACTGTACACAACCTGTTTGTTGGATGTTATCCACAGTACTCACACTGTTTGTTTGATGTTATCTACTGTACACAAACTGTTTGTTGGATGTTATCTACTGTACACAAACTGTTTGTTGGATGTTATCTACTGTACACAACCTGTTTGTTGGATGTTATCCACAGTACACAAACTGTTTGTTGGATGTTATCTACTGTACACAACCTGTTTGTTGGATGTTATCCACAGTACACAACATGTTTGTTGATTTAAGGTCATTACATTGATATATTAGTGTGAGTAAATTTGTTTTTTTAGATACCAATTCTGCTCTAGCCCACATTGCAAGCCAGCAACATGTCAAATGGTGCACACTGGGCTTTGTGCGCAGCATTGCCACTACTCCCATCATATGCCAGGCACTCAGCTCACCTCGCTGGATCTCACTGCTGCTCAGGATATTGGAGGAAGACCACGGCTCTAAATATTCCAAGAATGTTTACAGACAGGTAAGTGGACCACGGCTCTAAATATTCCAAGAATGTTTACAGACAGGTAAGTAGTCAAAAATTTTAAAAATTATTATGTAAAAAAACAACTGAGTAGCGCCCATTTTTTCTGGAGTAAGCCTATAGAAGAAAAATTGTAATCAAGCAAAAAAAAAAAGACAAATCTGGCAACATTTTACCCCACCCTGAGTCAGAAAAACTTTTTTTTTGCACATTTGTATGTGTGTCTGTTTGTAAGTACGATAACTTGCATGTTGCTGGCAACGTTCATTTATAAGCTTTATTTCAAATTTGTAGTTTTTTTTTCAACGTTTGAGCAATTTCCAGTAAACAGAGTTGGTACTTTATGGTTTCTAAAAAGATAATGACTTGTGTGAAGTTAGCTGGATGAAATCTCACATGTATTTATATTTCACCTATTTTTGCATTCATGTGACATGTAAATCTTTTTCCAAGGCGATTCTATTTTATTATAAAGTATTAAAATAAGGAAATTAAAAAATATTTCTATGGACCAAGAAAGTTAAGGAGAGATACCCCTGCTTTATTTTGTATTGAGTTTGATAAGAACTGATCCACATAAGGTTGAAAGTAGTTTGTGTGATTGATCTCAGATTCTGATACTGAAATTACTGCGAAGTGTTCTGCCTTCATGGGACCACTACATGGATGGGGCTAGAGTCATGGAGCTGGTCAACAGACTCTTTGCTCTGCTAGGAGCTGTTCTCATGGGATGTGCCACCGACATGACCTTAAACTCTTCATGTATGTACTCCATGCTTTTTCTCATGTCTCAAGTCACCTGACATGTCTCAAGTCATCTGACAGGTCTCAAGTCACCTGACATAAGTCACATGTCATGACTGAAGATGCCTGTTTTGACTGTAATCCCTTATCAATCTGTCATGACTGAAGTCTTTCTTTTTGCAGCAGACAACTGTGATGAGAAGAAGAGGAACATTCCAGTGTCTATGACAGCCACATACACAAGTACAATGGCTGAAGAGGTCATTGCCCTTATTCGCAGGCTCCATACCTTACCTGTGTGGAATGGAGCAGTCAACAAATTCATTGCAGCCCAACTCCCCAACATTGTAACTCTTCTTGCTGAAAGGAGGACTCACCATGTAAAGCATTACATGTCTGTCTGAAGTAACCCACCTTGTGTGTCTGAATTAACCCACCATGTCTGTCTGAAGTAACCCACCTTGTCTATCTGAAGTAACCATCACCACTTGTCTGTCTGAAGTAACCCACCTTGTCTGTCTGAAGTAACCCACCTTGTCTGTCTGAAGTAACCCACCTTGTCTGTCTGAAGTAACCCACCTTGTCTGTCTGAAGTAACCCACCTTGTCTGTCTGAATTAACCCACCTTGTCTGTCTGAAGTAACCCACCTTGTCTATCTGAAGTAACCCACCTTGTCTGCCTGAAGTAACCCACCTTGTCTGTCTGAAGTAACCCACCTTGTGTGTCTGAAGTAACCCACCTTGTCTGCCTGAAGTAACCCACCTTGTCTGTCTGAAGTAACCCACCTTGTCTGCCTGAAGTAACCCACCTTGTCTGTCTGAAGTAACCCACCTTGTCTGCCTGAAGTAACCCACCTTGTCTGTCTGAAGTAACCCACCTTGTCTGTCTGAAGTAACCCACCTTGTCTATCTGAAGTAACCCACCTTGTCTGCCTGAAGTAACCCACCTTGTCTGTCTGAAGTAACCCACCTTGTGTGTCTGAAGTAACCCACCTTGTCTGCCTGAAGTAACCCACCTTGTCTGTCTGAAGTAACCCACCTTGTCTGCCTGAAGTAACCCACCTTGTCTGTCTGAAGTAACCCACCTTGTCTGTCTGAAGTAACCCACCTTGTCTGTCTGAAGTAACCCACCTTGTGTGTCTGAAGTAACCCACAGTGTCTGCCTGAAGTAACCCACCTTGTCTGCCTGAAGTAACCCACCTTGTCTGCCTGAAGTAACCCACCTTGTCTGTCTGAAGTAACCCACCTTGTCTATCTGAAGTAACCCACCTTGTCTGCCTGAAGTAACCCACCTTGTCTGCCTGAAGTAACCCACCTTGTCTGCCTGAAGTAACCCACCTTGTCTGTCTGAAGTAACCCACAGTGTCTGTCTGAAGTAACCCACCTTGTTTGTATACCTGGGTGATCTCATTTGTCCATGAGATATTGTGTCTGGGATATTTTGTCTGAGATATTTTGTCTGAGATAATTTTCCTTGGAATAAACTACCTGATATAACAAACTACCTGATATAACAATCGACCTGATATAACAGTTGACCTGATATAACCTTTGACCTGACATAACAATTGACCTGATCTTACTTGTTCTGTCTTTAGATTGACCTGATATAACAATGGACCTGATATAACAATGGACCTAACAATTGACCTGATCTTACTTGTTCTGTCTTTAGATTGACCTGATATAACAATGGACCTTACAATTGACCTGATCTAACCCACTGGGTCTGTCTTTAGATTGAGGCGGAGGGAGACAGCAACCAGACAGCTTTGATGGTTGCTGCCCTGGCTGTCATTGGTGGCGTAGACTCAAGACTCAGACTGGGAAGTTTAGTCAAGCATGATGACCTTGGCCTTGGAACAGTTTCAAAAATCACCAGCAAAGGGAAGCTCCAAGTCCAGTTTACATCTGGCAAGTCCAGTGTTTGCAGGCTGTCAGAGCTCACTGCGGTAGGTCTTTAAAATATTTGCAGTAGGTCATCAAAACATTAGCACTAGGTCATCAAAACATTAGCAGTAGGTCATCAAAACATTAGCACTAGGTCATCAAAACATTTGTAGTAGGTCATCAAAACATTAGCACTAGGTCATCAAAACATTTGTAGTAAGTCATCAAAACATTAGCACTAGGTCATCAAAACATTAGCACTAGGTCATCCAAACATTTGCATTAGGTCATCAAAACATTAGCACTAGGTCATCAAAACATTAGCGGTAGGTCATCAAAACATTAGCACTAGGTCATCAAAACATTAGCACTAGGTCATCAAAACATTAGCACTAGGTCATCAAAACATTAGCACTAGGTCATCAAAACAGTAGCGGTAGGTCATCCAAACATTTGCATTAGGTCATCAAAACTTAAATGGTAGGGCATCAAAACATTTGCAGTAGGTCATCAAAACATTAGCGGTAGGTCATCAAAACATTTGTAGTAGGTCATCAAAACATTAACACTAGGTCATCAGAACATTTGTAGTAGGTCATCAAAACATTAGCACTAGGTCATCAAAACATTTGTAGTAGGTCATCAAAACATCAGCAGTAGGTCATCAAAACATTTGTAGTAGGTCATTAAAACATTAGCGGTAGGTCATCAAAACATTTGTAGTAGGTCATCAAAACATTAGCACTAGGTCATCAAAACATCAGCAGTAGGTCATCAAAACATTAGCAGTAGGTCATCCAAACATTTGCATTAGGTCATCAAAACATTAGTGGTAGGTCATCAAAACATTAGCGGTAGGGCATCAAAACATTAGTGGTAGGTCATCAAAACATTAGCGGTAGGTCATCAAAACATTAGCGGTAGGGCATTAAAACATTAGCACTAGGTCATCCAAACATTTGTAATAGGTCATCAAAACATTAGCAGTAGGTCATCAAAACATTTTACAGTAGGTCATCAAAACATTAGCGGTAGGTCATCTAAACCTTTGTAGTAGGTCATCAAAACATTAGCGGTAGGTTATCAAAACTTTAGCAGTAGGTCATCAAAACATTTGTAGTAGGTCATCAAAACATTAGCGGTAGGTCATCTAAACCTTTGCAGTAGGTCATCAAAACATTTGTAGTAGGTCATCAAAACATTAGCGGTAGGTCATCTAAACCTTTGTAGTAGGTCATCAAAACATTTGTAGTAGGTCATCAAAACATTAGCGGTAGGTCATCTAAACCTTTGCAGTAGGTCATCAAAACATTTGCTGTATAGTATAATGGTTAATGGTTAATTGAAACCTTGTGCGTGTAATTGCCTCAGTTTTCTGTTTGATGATGAATGTTTGTTTGTGTAGGTACCACTGGTAGAGTTCCATGTAGAGAGGATGCCATTGACTGAAGAGACACTGTGTAACTGGGCTGTGTTGTGTAGCTTGTCCTGCGCTGCTGTAAGGACTGACAGGGATAAAGATGCCACGCCCAGGGCTCCACTGGCTACCAGCACAGGCAGCATTGATTCACTGGGTATGGCAACCATCACCACTGGCAACCATCACCACTGGCAACCATCACCACTGGCAACCATCACCATTGGCAACCATCACCACTTGTTAGGCAACCATCACCACTTGTTAGGCAACCATCACCACTTCTTTGACTTGTTAGGCAACCATCACCACTTCTTTGACTTGTTAGGCAACCATCACCACTTGTTAGGCAACCATCACCACTTGTTAGGCAACCTTCACCACTTTGACTTGTTAGGCAACCATCATGACCTCATTAACCATTTTTTCCCCTTAGGCAATCATCTGACTTTCAAAGAGCTGCGCAAGCAATACATCCGCTTGTGCCTACTGCGAGCCGTAGCCAAGTTATTCAGCCATCAGGATGGGCTGAGACAAATTCTCCTCCAGCACATCTGTCCGGACCCCACTCTGGCCGACATGCCCCCACCCACAGAGGAAGAAGGGGCTGGCGATGGCCCAGTCAAAGTCACCTTGTTACAGCAGCTGCTGAGTACAGCCACACAACCCTCACCTCTCAAGGCTGTTTTTGCTGTGGAGGAGATGGAGGTAAGATGTCTGCATTTAATTTGGCTGGCTCTGCTGTTGACAAGTTGGAATTACACACTGTCCTCTCAGACATGCCAGCCTTTCAGCAAAAAGTGGAATCGTTATGCTTTTTAAACAAAAAATTGTGTCCTGTTACGCCATCCCTATTTTGTCGAAGTTTGTTCTACTTTTCCAAAAAATAATTAATAAAGAAAGCTAATAAAGCGAATTGGAAAAAGGGCTGGGAAAAGCAATTATCTCCCTTTGGCAAACATTTGCTTACAATATTTAAAAGTATAATCTAATACTAGATCTACTAATAGCTAGCTTCTGAATCTTCTTTTTTGGTAATTGCAGTTTAATTGTAGATTTAAATTATGCCTTAAATAACAATGTACAGGCTGTTCTCTAGTTGAAATATTTGTAGCTGTCATAAAAATGTGCAGGCTGTCCTCTAGTTGAAATATTTGTAGCTGTCATAAAAATGTGCAGGCTGTCCTCTAGTTGAAATATTTGTAGCTGTCATAAAAATGTGCAGGCTGTCCTCTAGGTGAAATATTTGTAGCTGTCATAAAAATGTGCAGGCTGTCCTCTAGTTGAAATATTTGTAGCTGTCATAAAAATGTGCAGGCTGTCCTCTAGTTGAAATATTTGTAGCTGTCATGTGCAGGCTGTCCTCTAGTTGAAATATTTGTAGCTGTCATAAAAATGTGCAGGCTGTCCTCTAGTTGAAATATTTGTAGCTGTCATGTGCAGGCTGTCCTGTATATTTTTCAGGCTGCTGCCTTGGCTGCCTGCCAACATTTGATATCAGAACTTGGTCAACACTCCTCCGATCTTGAGGAGAGCAGTGATGAGGAGGATGAGAACAATTTTCTCGGCATGCCACCCCTAGGGCAGCTGGTGTCTCCCCCAGCCCCTACCATTGTGGCTAGGCTCCAGAAGTTAAGGAAGATGAAGCCTCTTCAACCCCTGCCTACACCTATTGTTGCTCAACTCATGGAGATGGGATTCCCAAGGAGACGAGTTGAACAAGCTGTCAAATCTCTTGGTGAGTAGAGTTGTGCATATGACACACAGATTGGTTGGTACAGTAGTGTGTCACCATGGTTTGTTGGTACAAGTGTGTGTCACCATGGTTTGTTGTTGCAGTAGTGTGTGTCACCATGGTTTGTTGGTACAAGTGTGTGTCACCATGGTTGGTTGGTACAAGTGTGTGTCACCATGGTTGGTACAAGTGTGTGTCACCATGGTTGGTTGGTACAAGTGTGTGTCACCATGGTTTGTTGGTACAAGTGTGTGTCACCATGGTTTGTTGGTACAAGTGTGTGTCACCATGGTTGGTTGTTGCAGTAGTGTGTGTCACCATGGTTGGTTGTTGCAGTAGTGTGTGTCACCATGGTTTGTTGGTACAAGTGTGTGTCACCATGGTTTGTTGGTACAAGTGTGTCACCATGGTTTGTTGGTACAAGTGTGTGTCACCATGGTTTGTTGGTACAAATGTGTGTCACCATGGTTGGTACAAGTGTGTGTCAACATGGTTTGTTGGTACAAGTGTGTGTCACCATGGTTGGTTGGTACAAGTGTGTGTCACCATGGTTGGTTGGTACAAGTGTGTGTCACCATGGTTGGTTGGTACAAGTGTGTGTCACCATGGTTGGTTGGTACAAGTGTGTGTCACCATGGTTGGTTGGTACAAGTGTGTGTCACCATGGTTGGTACAAGTGTGTGTCACCATGGTTGGTTGGTACAAGTGTGTGTCACCATGGTTGGTTGGTACAAGTGTGTGTCAACATGGTTGGTTGGTACAAGTGTGTGTCAACATGATTGGTTGGTACAGTGTACACACACTGATTGGTACTTTAACATCAAACCTTTGCAGTAGGTCATCAAATTTTGAGTGAATTTGAATTTCTAGCTAAAATGAGTGTATTGAAAGAATATGTGCTAACCAGCTGTACTGTTGGGCCAGGGGGAGGTGGCCTAGAGACTCCAACCGTGGAGGCTGTGGTCAGTTGGCTGCTGGAACACCCCAGCTCTGGACATGAGGACTCTGACACAGATGTTGCCTCATCAGAGGATGGATACACAGACAGCGACTCAGTTTCAGATGGCTATGACGAGTATGAAGCTTTTGATGTGAGTCATATTAAAGCTTTTCACGTGAGTCCTTCTTCAAATAATAAAATGTAAATAGCTTAAATGTCGTCACCAATTTATATAAATAGCTCTAAATATCACCCAACACATGTAAATAGCTGTAAATATCACCTAACACATGTAAATAGCTGTGAATATCACCTAACACATGTAAATAGATGTAAATATCACCTAACACATGTAAATAGCTGTAAATATCACCTAACACATGTAAATAGCTGTGAATATCACCTAACACATGTAAATAGATGTAAATATCACCTAAAACATGTAAATAGATGTAAATGATATTTGAATAGGCTGCATCACCAGAAGTTGTGGGCGTGCCCTGTGAGTACAGCAAAAGGTCAGAGTTCACCAACTCCGACGACTACGCCATGTACGTCAGACAAAAGATCCAGGTTGGCATGATGGTCAGATGTTGTCGCACCTATGAAGAAGTTCATCAAGGTGACATTGGGAAAGTCACTAAGGTCAGCCTAAACATCAATAATACTTAATATAGCCCACAGTTGAACTTCTTAATACTTTTGTAATAGAAAGTTGATGTGCACAATACTTATTATATAGGGGTACATTGACATTCATTTATTGTGGCAAGTCAGGTACCATACGGTATAAAAGTATTTGAGACAGCGGTCATTGCCATGAGTATATAAATAATTGAGACCTGTTTTTAGTTGGATCAAGATGGCCTTCATGAACTGAACATCCAGGCCTACTGGCAAAGGAAGTGTGGGACCTACTGGGTGCGCTACATTCATGTAGAGATACTTGGCTTCACAAACTCAGCTATAGGTGAGGAGTTGATCTTTAATGACTGGGCACTTGCTCCTGTGGAGAACAGAATCCCAACGTTTGGTGGGTTGTAACTGAGATAACATACAAGAACGTTTGCATTGAGACTAAACATTTTTGTACTGAATTCTTTGATCAGACAATGGGCAGACAATCAAAGTTGGAGACAAAGTGCGAGTCAAGGCGTCTGTCAGCAAACCAACATACAAGTGGGGCTCAGTGACACATGCTAGTGTTGGAACTGTCACTGGTAGGTTTTGTTGTTGCAACTGTCACTGGTAGGTTTTGTTGTTGCAACTGTCACTGGTAGGTTTTGTTGTTGCAACTGTCACTGGTAGGTTTTGTTGTTGCAACTGTCACTGGTAGGTTTTGTTGTTGCAACTGTCACTGGTAGGTTTTGTTGTTGCAACTGTCACTGGTAGGTTTTGTTGTTGCAACTGTCACTGGTAGGTTTTGTTGTTGCAACTGTCACTGGTAGGTTTTGTTGTTGCAACTGTCACTGGTAGTGTTATGACATCATCAGTATTGTTGTTACTGAGGTCTGCACTGAGAGGTTCAAGAAAACACAAAGACAATATTAGCTCCTTAATTTTAATGGTTGATACTTTAGTCTTGGATAAAATGGGGAATAATCTTGAACATCAATAGTGGCCAGCCTTAGGGGCCAGCCCTACCACACCTTACAACACAAAACACGACTACATCCTAGCAAAGCTAACGTTCAACTCTCCTATGTCTCTGACCCTCACCACCCAACCTGGGGTCTATGCCCTTTCTAAACCTCAAATACAATAGGGTATCTCATTACATGTTTCCCCAAATTTGCATCCCATGTTAGTTGGGCCAGACTAAGGTCAAAGACCGGTACTTCACCTAGCCTGCACATCTCTAACTAGGTTGGGATGTCTTCTTATCAGGTTACAGTTGTCCCAGTTCAGGTGTGGGAAGGGAGGGGGGGGGGGGGGGGGGGGGGAGATAACCCACTGGCATCAACAATGGACTCAGTTATAACAGGTAGGTTTTGGTGATGGAGCTGAGACTTGTAGGTTTTTTGTTGAAATTGTTTGTATTGTTTGTATTGTGTAGTTCAAATGTTGTTTTACACTTATTTTATAACTAGGCATACTGCCTAGCTTCGCTTAGGTTTTCAAAAAAATTGAGGAATTGAATGATTAATTAATAGGTGATTGGCTGCTATGTTAAATGCTTAGGGCCTAAATTTATAGGCTACAGTTGAGTTTAATGGTACTCAAATATTGATGGAATATTCGCAAACTTATTACTCGCACGGTAATTAGAACTGCAAGGGCTTTGTTAATAGTATCAATCAAATATTATAATAAATTACTTTCGCAATTAATTTTTACAATTTCAGTACAATGCAAAACTTAATTTATAACAAAATATTTATTTAAAACAATGCTATACTTTATGATTTTTTTTTCTTGAAAAGAGTATACAAAATATTTAAAAATTATTACATTAAAAAGTTACCTCCCCTGTTCATAGACCAAATGACCAAATCTCGTATAATGAGAATTTCACTCGCGGTCATTTTTAGCCCTCTAAGAGGGCTTTAAGTCAGACCAACAGTTTTTCCATACGGCGTAGTCATCTATAGAGGTGTATACAAAAAATTAGCCAGATGTAAAGTGGGTAAGTGCCCTAAAATCCGTTTTGAAATCACCCTCTGTTTTTCCCATAAAATACAAAGATTATATAGGGAAATACGACTGGTCAGTTTTGACCCATTTAACGAATTTTCTCGGACATGGCGAGTTTTTTGTGACACCCCAAGGCGTTCTCCTACCACATCACAAAATTTCAAGGGGGGTCGTCGGAGGAAATTTTTTTTCGTAATAGAGCTCATATAAAGAGAATTTCACTCGCGGTCAAATTTTAGCCCCCGTCAAGGGCTTTGAGTGAAACCGACAGTTTTCCCTAAAGGTCAAGCCATTTACCTAAGAGCATGCAAACAATTAGCCAGATGTAAAGACGGTAAGTGCCCTCAAATCCGTTTTGAAATCACCCTCTGTTTTTCCCATAAAATACAAAGATTATATAGGGAAATACGACTGGTCAGTTTTGACCCGTTTAACGAATTTTCCCGGACATGGCGAGTTTTTGTGGCACCCCAAGGCGTTCTCCTACCACCTCACAAAATTTCAAGGGGGGTCGTCGGAGGAAATTTTTTTCCGTAATAGAGCTCATATAAAGAGAATTTCACTCGCGGTCACTTTTTAGCCCTCGTCGAGGGCTTTGAGTGAAACCGACAGTTTTCACTAAAGGTCAAGCCATTTGCCTAAGAGCATGCAAAAAAATTAGCCAGATGTAAAGATTGGTCACAATTGGTTGCTGAACGTTCCATATCTATTTCTCAGCAATCACAGCAACCAGTTCAACATGACTGTTGATAACATATCTATTTCCCAACAATCATCATGACTGTTGATAACATCTATTTCTCAACAATCACAGCAACCAGTTCAACATGACTGTTAATAACATATCTATTTCCCAACAATCAACATGACTGTTGATAACATATCTATTTCTCAACAATCACAGCAACCAGTTCAACATGAATGTTGATAACATATCTATTTCCCAACAATTATCATGACTGTTGATAACATATCTATTTCTCAACAATCACAGCAACCAGTTCAACATGACTGTTGATAACATATCTATTTCCCAACAATTATCATGACTGTTGATAACATATCTATTTCCCAACAATCAACATGACTGTTGATAACATATCTATTTCCCAACAATCAACATGACTGTTGATAACATATCTATTTCCCAACAATCACAGCAACCAGTTCAACATGACTGTTGATAACATATCTATTTCCCAACAATCAACATGACTGTTGATAACATATCTATTTCTCAGCAATCACAGCAAACAATCGAGACATGACTGTTGATTTCCCGCAACAGTCTCATTGGACAGGAGTCATCTCGGAGATGGAGTTGGTGCCCAGTGTACATCCTCAGATCACGTAAGCTGGACAACATCCTTTGCTATCTTTCAAAAGATGTCAACAGACATCATCATACTCCTCACAAAAGATATTAAGACAGACATGATAGCATTAAGACAGACATGATATCATTAAGACAGACATGACAGCATTAAGACAGACATTGAGGTAGCCATTCTAATTCCCCAGATGCTCCAACTGTAGCATGAGCCCCCTGGTTGGTCCCAGATTTCATTGTCAGAGCTGTGACAACTTTGACCTGTGTGAAAACTGCTTCAAGCTTACTAGGCTTCACAAGCATCCATTCAACCGAATTCAGGAGCCGGGTAGGTTGCACATATGTGACAACTTTTACCTGTATAACAACTTTTACCTGTCACACTTTACCTGTGTGACAACTTTCACCTGTCACACTTTACCTGTGTGACAACATTTACCTGTAACACTTTACCTGTGTGACAACTTTCACCTGTCACACTTTACCTGTGTGACAACTTTCACCTGTCACACTTTACCTGTGTGACAACTTTCACCTGTCACACTTTACCTGTGTGACAACATTTACCTGTCACACTTTACCTGTGTGACAACTTTCACCTGTCACACTTTACCTGTGTGACAACTTTCACCTGTCACACTTTACCTGTGTGACAACTGTTACCTGTGTGACAACTTTCATCTGTCACACTTTTACCTGTGTGACAACTTTTACCTGTGTGACAACTTTTACCTGTGTGACAACTTTCACCTGTCACACTTTACCTGTGTGACAACCTTTACCTGTGTGACAACTTTCACCTGTCACACTTTACCTGTGTGACAACTTTCACCTGTCACACTTTACCTGTGTGACAACTTTCACTTGTCACACTTTACCTGTGTGACAACTTTTACCTGTGTGACAACTTTTACCTGTCCCACTTTACCTGTGTGACAACTTTCACCCGTCACACTTTACCTGTGTGACAACTTTCACCTGTCACACTTTACCTGTGTGACAACTTTCACCTGTCACACTTTACCTGTGTGACAACTTTCACCTGTCACACTTTACCTGTGTGACAACTTTTACCTGTGTGACAACTTTCACCTGTGTGACAACTTTTACCTGTATAACAACTTTCACCTGTGTGACAACTTTCACCTGTCACACTTTACCTGTGTGACAACTTTCACCTGTCACACTTTACCTGTGTGACAACTTTCACCTGTGTGACAACTTTTACCTGTGTGACAACTTTCACCTGTGGTTGATTACCTGATGTTTGATGTTGTCATAGATTATCTGATGTTTGATGTTGTGGTTGGTTACCTGATGTTTGATGTTGTGGTTAATTATCTGATGTTTGATGTTTTGGTTGGTTGTTTGATGTTGTTGTTGGTTGTTTGATGTTGTGGTTGGTTGTTTGATGTTGTGGTTGGTTATTTGATGTTGTGGTTGGTTGTTTGATGTTGTGGTTGGTTGTTTGTTGTTGTGGTTGGTTACTAGATGTTTGATGTTGTGTTTGGTTACCTAATGTATAATGTTGTTGGTTACCTGATGTTTGATGTAGTTGTTGGTTACCTGATGTTTAATGTAGTTGTTGGTTACATGTTTGATGTTGTGGTTGGATACATGATTGATGTTGTGGTTGGATACATGATTGATGTTGTGGTTGGTTGTTTGATGTTGTTGTTTGATGTTGTTGTTGGTTGTTTGATGTTGTGGTTGGTTGTTTGATGTTGTGGTTGGTTGTTTGATGTTGTGGTTGGTTATATGATGTTTGATGTTGTGGTTGATTACCTGATGTTTGATGTTGTCATTGATTATCTGATGTTTGATGTTGTGGTTGATTATCTGATGTTTGATGTTGTCATTGATTATCTGATGTTTGATGTTGTCATTGATTATCTGATGTTTGATGTTGGGGTTGATTATCTGATGTTGAGGTTGATTGATTGATGTTGTGGTTGGTTACATGATGTTTGATGTTGTGGTTGGTTGTTTGATGTTGTGGTTGATTATCTGATGTTTGATGTTGTCATTGATTATCTGATGTTTGATGTTGTGGTTGGTTGTTTGATGTTGTCATTGATTACCTGATGTTTGATGTTGTGGTTGGTTGTTTGATGTTGTGGTTGGTTATATGATATTTGAGGTTGTGGTTAATTATCTGATGTTTGATGTTGTCATTGATTATCTGATGTTTGATGTTGGGGTTGATTATCTGATGTGTGATGTTGTCATTGATTATCTGATGTTTGATGTTGTCATTGATTATCTGATGTTTGATGTTGTCATTGATTATCTGATGTTTGATGTTGTCATTGATTATCTGATGTTTGATGTTGTCATTGATTATCTGATGTTTGATGTTGTCATTGATTACCTGATGTTTGATGTTGTGGTTGGTTACATTATGTTTGATGTTATAGTTGATGATCTGATGTTTGCTCCACACAGGAAGTGATCCATGTTTTGCTGGGAAGCCTGGCAGGCCAAGTCGAGTGAGTAGCACTCAAACACCTAAAGGATCCAGCATCAGCAACTGGCAGGCCTGTGTTAAAAGTTTAACTGTCTCTTCACGTGAAGACCAAGCTCACAATCTTTATGACAATCAAGGTCATTTCTGGCAGAGTCATGGTACCCAAGGCAAGGTCAGTTCCCTGGCATTTACTAGTGTTTCATTTGTGTGACATTTGGTAAGGTCAGTTCCCTGGCATTTACTATTGTTTCATTTGTGTGACATTTGGCAAGGTCGTTCCCTGGCATTTACTAGTGTTTCATTTGTGTGACATTTGGCAAGGTCAGTTTCATGGCATTTACTATTTTCATTTGCGTGACATTTGGCAAGTTAGTTCCATGGCTTTTACTAGTGTTTCATTTGCGTAACATTTGGCAAGGTCAGTTTCATGGCATTTACTTGTGTTTCATTTGTGTGACATTTGGCAAGGTCATTTTCATGGCATTTACTATTTTCATTTGCGTGACATTTGACAAGGTCAGTTCCGTGGCTTTTACTAGTGTTTCATTTGCGTGACATTTAAATCTGCAGTTAACCATTAGATACTAGTATTGAATCTACAGTTGAATTCCTGACTTAAAATTCCCTAACCCATTACTATAATTCCTGACTTAAAATTCCCTAACCCATTACTATAATTCCTGACTTAAAATTCCCTTCCCCATTACTTTAATTCCTGACTTAAAATTTCCTAACCCATTACTTTAATTTCTGACTTAAAATTCACTAACCCATTACTTTAATTCCTAACTTAAAATTCCCTAACCCATTACTTTAATTCCTGGCTTAAAATTCCCTAACCCATTCCTGTAATTCCTGACTTAAAATTCCCTAATCCATTACTTTAATTCCTGGCTTAAAATTCCCTAACCCATTCCTGTAATTCCTGACTTAAAATTCACTAACCCATTACTTTAATTCCTGGCTTAAAATTCCCTAACCCATTACTTTAATTCCTGACTTAAAATTCCCTAACCCATTACTTTAATTCCTGACTTAAAATTCCCTAACCCATTACTTTAATTCCTGGCTTAAAATTCCCTAACCCATTCCTGTAATTCCTGACTTAAAATTCCCTAATCCATTACTTTAATTCCTGGCTTAAAATTCCCTAACCCATTCCTGTAATTCCTGACTTAAAATTCCCTAATCCATTACTTTAATTCCTGGCTTAAAATTCCCTAACCCATTACTTTAATTCCTGGCTTAAAATTCCCTAACCCATTCCTGTAATTCCTGACTTAAAATTCCCTAAACCATTACTTTAATTCCTGACTTAAAATCCCCTAACCCATTACTTTAATTCCTGACTTAAAATTCCCTAACCCATTACTTTAATTCCTGACTTAAAATTCACTAACCCATTACTTTAATTCCTGGCTTAAAATTCCCTAACCCATTCCTGTAATTCCTGACTTAAAATTCCCTAATCCATTACTTTAATTCCTGGCTTAAAATTCCCTAACCCATTCCTGTAATTCCTGACTTAAAATTCCCTAAACCATTACTTTAATTCCTGACTTAAAATTCCCTAATCCATTACTTTAATTCCAGACTTAAAATTCCCTAACCCATTCCTGTAATTCCTGATATAGCATTGGATCCGCCTTGAGATGCAGCCAGAGATGATCATCACTAGACTGTGTATGCGAGTGGACCCTGCTGACTCCAGCTACATTCCCTCCCTTCTAGTCATCAGTGGAGGGGACTCTGTGCTTAGTTTAAAGGAGTTGAGAACTGTCCATGTGGCTTCAGATGAATCTCTCATCACATTACTCTCTGATATGACTGAGGTAAGGTCTACTGGGACTGAAGGAAAGTCTTATGGGACTGAAGGAAAGTCTTGTGGGACTGAGGGAAAGTCTTGTGGGACTGAGGGAAAGTCTTGTGGGATTGAGGGAAAGTCTTAATGGACTAAGGGAAATGTGAATGAGGGAAAGTCTTGTGGGACTGAAGGAAAGTCTTGTGGGACTGAGGGAAAGTCTTGTGGGATTGAGGGAAAGTCTTGTGGGATTGAGGGAAAGTCTTGTGGGACTGAGGGAAAGTCTTGTGGGATTGAGGGAAAGTCTTGTGGGATTGAGGGAAAGTCTTGTGGGATTGAGGGAAAGTCTTGTGGGATTGAGGGAAAGTCTTAATGGACTAAGGGAAAGTCTTGTGGGACTGAGGGAAAGTCTTGTGGGACTGAGGGAAAGTCTTGTGGGACTGAGGGAAAGTCTTGTGGGATTGAGGGAAAGTCTTGTGGGATTGAGGGAAAGTCTTGTGGGATTGAGGGAAAGTCTTGTGGGATTGAGGGAAAGTCTTAATGGACTAAGGGAAAGTCTTGTGGGACTAAGGGAAAGTCTTGTGGGACTGAGGGAAAGTCTTGTGGGACTGAGGGAAAGTCTTGTGGGACTGAGGGAAAGTCTTGTGGGACTGAGGGAAAGTTGTGGTATTGAGGGAAAGTCTTGTGGGATTGATAGAAAGTCTTAATGGACTAAGGGAAATGTGAATGAGGGAAAGTCTGGTGGGATTGAGCGAAAGTCTTGTGGGACTAAGGGAAATGTGAATGAGGGAAAGTCTTGTGGGACGAAGGGAAATGTGAATGAGGGAAAGTCTGGTGGGATTGAGCGAAAGTCTTGTGGGACTAAGGGAAATGTGAATGAGGGAAAGTCTTGTGGGACTAAGGGAAAGTTTTTAATTATTGAGGTAAAACAAGTTAATGTTAATAAAAAATTTTGAATATTCAGTACCATCGAATAATTGAGGTGGGCATCAAGCAGTGTCGAAGTAGTGGGATAGACTGCAAGATCCATGGTTTGTCCATCACTGCCAGACACAAGAGTGAGGAGGATGAGATTCCAACAACATTCTCTATCCTTGCGCAAGACAAGGCTGAGGAGGAAGATGGCCAGAACTCTGGCCGTAAGAAAGGAAAAACTGCCAACATTGCTAAAGACATTCAGACCTACGTCTTCGTCTGGGGGCTCAATGATAAGGATCAGCTGGGGGGACCGAAGGGATCTAAAGTAAGTACAGTGTCCCACATACATGTTGCGTCCAAGTTAACCAATGTCCTACTTGATGGGCCTAAGTTAACCAATGTCCTACATGATGGGCCTAAGTTAACCAATGTCCTACAGAATATCCATAATTCAACTAATTAGCACTGAATGGTCCTAGATATATAAGAACCAATGTTAAATCTATTATAGATCAAAATGCCAATGTTAAATCTATTACAGATCAAAATGCCAATGTTAAATCTATTACAGATCAAAATGCCAATGTTAAATCTATTACAGATCAAAATGCCAATGTTAAATTTATTACAGATCAAAATGCCAATGTTAAATCTATTACAGATCAAAATGCCAATGTTAAATGAATCACTCTCTGGGCTAAACTGTGTACAGATTGCTGGTGGATCCAAAAGTCTTTTCTGTGGTACGTTCGTCATATTTCTGCAGTATGTTTATTAGGTTCTGATGTATGTGGAATGGTTACACAGGATGGCAAAATGTTTGCTTGTATTTTTAATGAAGTTTTTATTTTGTTTCCCAGTTACACAGGATGGCAAAGTGTTTGCTTGTGGAGAAGGTACAAACGGTCGCCTAGGGCTGGGAGCTGTGACCGGAAACATTTCAGTTCCCCGCCAGCTGACAGCACTTGGACAGTATGTCATCAAGAAAGTAGCTGTCCATTCCGGAGGTCGGCACGCTCTTGCACTGAGCACAGATGGCAAAGTACTGGCTTGGGGAGAAGGAGATGATGGCAAACTTGGCCTGTCCACACGCATGTAAGTCATTTCTTCTAGTCTAGTGTATGTCTGCTGCTATTGGCTTGGGGAGAAGGAGATGATGGCAAACTTGGCCTGTCCACACGCATGTAAGTCATTTCTTCTAGTCTAGTGTATGTCTGCTGCTATTGGCTTGGGGAGAAGGAGATGATGGCAAACTTGGCCTGTCCACACGCATGTAAGTCATTTCTTCTAGTCTAGTGTATGTCTGCTGCTATTGGCTTGGGGAGAAGGAGATGATGGCAAACTTGGCCTGTCCACACGCATGTAAGTCATTTCTTCTAGTCTAGTGTATGTCTGCTGCTATTGGCTTGGGGAGGAGATGATGGCAAACTTGGCCTGTCCACACGCATGTAAGTCATTTCTTCTAGTCTAGTGTATGTCTGCTGCTATTGCCTGTCTGGTTCTAGTCTAGTGTCTGTCTAGCTCAGGCTGTGGTGGCCATCTGAACTTTATAGGTTAATCTTTCTAGGCCACTTTAGTATGTTCCGCAAAGCATATGTTAACTTATTTTTGTCCCCAGGAATTGTGACAGAAATTATTTTTGTCCCCAGGAATTGTGACACAAATTATTTTTGTCCCCAGGAATTGTGACAGAAATTATTTTTGTCCCCAGGAATTGTGACACAAATTATTTTTGTCCCCAGGAATTGTGACACAAATTATTTTTGTCCCCAGGAATTGTGACAGAAATTATTTTTGTCCCCAGGAATTGTGACAGAAATTATTTTTGTCCCCAGGAATTGTGACAGAAATTATTTTTGTCCCCAGGAATTGTGACACAAATTATTTTTGTCCCCAGGAATTGTGACAGAAATTATTTTTGTCCCCAGGAATTGTGAAACTCCCCGTCTTATTGAGGCCCTCAAGTCCAAACGTGTGAGGGACATAGCCTGTGGGAGCTCACACAGTGCCGCCATCATATCCAATGGGGACCTGTACACCTGGGGGCTGGGGGATTATGGGAGACTCGGACATGGAGACAATACAACACAACTCAAGCCTAAACAGGTCTCCATCTACCATCTTTTTATTTCTATGCTCTCATAACCATCATTTTATTTCTATGGTGTTATAAGATGGTATATCCAGACATGCCTATGGACTTGTAAATCGTTTTCAAAAAAACAATTAACAAAGAGCATTAATAAATCAAATTGAAAATAAACTGGGAGCGATCTCCCCTAAACTTTCTCGAATATTCTTTTATAAAAAAACGGGATGGGAACTCGGGATATAGACATAAATTTTAATCCATTTTAAATACTTAAACTTTTTAAAATAGAATAAAATGTCGTAGAAAAAAGAATTGCACACCTGTGAACGCCAAATAAAACATGCATAATAGTGCGGAATATTATTAGTACTTTATAAATTTACATTTGTTTTTTGAGAAATCGGAAATAGCGTAAATTAGTACTTTCAATCAATGGAAATTACTCAAAATTTGACAGAAGGTAGAGAATTAGATCTTTTACTTACATGTGAAATTTCATTTATCTATCTGAAATAGTACTCAAGTTATAGGGTTTTTTAAAAATTCAAAGTAGAAAAAGTACCACTTCCGGTTATTGGAAATCGCTCAAAAGTTGATCAGGATCTACGATTTTGATAAAATACTTATATATGAAATTTCATCAACCTAGCTGTTTCATCAACCTAGCTGTAACGGTACTCAAGTTATCGTGTTTACACACAGACACACACACACACACACAGACATACGGACAGAATTGCAAAGTCCAGTTATTACGACTCGATAACGCATAAAACGCCAAAATGTTTATATATTTGTATTTATAATTTTTTCCTGATTAAAATAAGTCCTCAATACTCCGGATGTGATGAAAGACTGAGAAGTAAAACGATGAAAACTGTCAAAATTTCATGTTATTATTGTGCACAATTACAATACTTTCTCTTTACTTCGTATATACGAGAAAGTAAAAAGAGCTGGGAAAAGCAATTATCTCCCTTTGGCACACGTTTCTGTTTCATAGTTTACTTGCAAAAAAGTATAAGCTAATACTAGATCTACTAATAGATAATGTGAACAACCTAGCTTCTGAACGTTCTTTTTGGCATTTGCAATTGAATTGTAGATTTAAACTATGCCTTTAAATAACATGTAGGGAGAAAAATACAATAACATCATGACTAACACACTCATTTCTAGATGTAGGTATTAAATCTATCGGGTAACTACTAACTAAGAAGTAACTAACTAGGAATTTAACTAGATAAGTCTTAACTCTTAACTTTGATTTATATTTTATAGGCCTAACCTACGGATCCTTCAGCATTTGTTGTTTATATGGATTAGAACATAGCAAGGCAGGAATAATCAAATCAATAAAGTTACGGTTTTTATTATGGGGCGGTGGGGGTCACAGGTTACAATATTTTTGGCGGCGCGTCAGCATGTCCAGCGATATATGGAGAACTTAAAGATACGGAATTTTGTTGAAAATAATATAGTGGACGGTATAAATGTATAAACTAAATTTTCTTTAAAGAAGAAAAATAAAAATAAAATCATATTCAAATGTAGAAACAGATTTCTAACTAAAGCGTTTATTGTCATGAAAAAAACGCAGTATACAATGACGTCACATAACACAACATTAAACTAAGTCTAAGGAAAGAACACAAAACTAATGGCGTCATCTTTCAATTTTAGAATATAAAGAAATGAACTATTTAATTCAAATTTGATTTAGATCTACTATGTATACAATACAATTTTCTTGGCCTAAACTTATAAAATTTACTTTATCTATTTGGATTCTAGACTTAGACTCTAGATAGTGTAGATAGATCTAGATCTAAAATCTATTCCAATAATAAATTTCTATACTAAACTATTTCAGGCCATAATAATTTATTTTGAAAAAATCTTTGTTTGTTTAGCCATGAAATTGGCTAATTTGGGATAAAATTTCATTTGAAAGAATAGGGCCTATTCGCATAAGTTAAGTTTCTTAAGTACCTCTTTTATTTTGCGTGACACCAAGTCAATCTTTTTTGTTTTTCAATTTGTTTTTTTATATGTGAATGATTAAGTTGCCTATCGGAACTTGGCGGGATATGGGGTAGATGAAGTAGAGTTCACCTGTTTTGGTCTTTTCAACATATGAAGGGATAGTGTGGTCAGACCCATGCTCAGCCGAAATAGGTGTTTTAAAAAGACAAAAACAACATAACTACCATTGAACACCGGGTTTTTAACTAAATCTTTTAAGTCTCTTAACCCTTTATTTACGGAATTATGTTCTGAATGAAATTTTTTCTTAAACAATTTGTTATCATATTGCTTTTGGCACATTTAAAGCATACGGCAAAGGAAATTTCGTTTCATAAATTTTTAATGGCCCAAACAGATATTGGTACTTATAAGTACCGTCAGGAATGTAGGACATTTTTTCCAAAAAAAATTTTTTTACAAAACAGGAACAAACAATACAATTTATTAACTTATAACATAGCAATCATTATAAAAGTTATTTTTTGTAATTTTCACTCATAAATACAGCACGATTGAGTACGATTTTTATTGAATTTTCTGTCGGAACACATCTTAGACCTCAAAAACAGCAAAAGTTGCCGACATGTCATGCTCCCTCATTCTTGTCTGTGGTCATTCTGGTGTAGCAACTGTTGCCGGACTAAACATGCTTTTGCTGGAAGCTTCCAATAGCTATTACTTACAATGAGCCGCATAAACAAACAAAAGCCTAGTCATTCAGTACACAGCTACTCGTAATACTAGTATAATTGTAGCCTACTAGAATGTTATGACAAGTCTACACTACAGTGTAAAGTTCATAAATAGAAGTGAGCTCAATGTGTTTAGGATAGCCAAAGTGGCCTACTGTTTCCTGTTTACGGATTAAAATTTACCATATGGATCTATAATATATGCAGAAGTATGGACTATTACTAGTCTGCAGGTTTACATTACGTAAATACTAGTTATTGTAGGCAAGACAGTTTATTGCAGTAAATATAACTAACAAATTAAATCTTACTACTAGAACTAAGCTTTGGTATACAAATGAAGTATACTAAACCTAGAAAACGAGCCTGCAACTGCTACCTTTATTCTTCTTATTCTTTTACTACTAGAAATTAACATGTAATTACACTATTTCTTAGGTAAACAATATGCTATCCTTCTTATACATGTGTAAATATCATTTTTTGAGTACATTTCAATAATTAATTATCAAAATAATATTTATGTCACTCCACATCGAAAATCTGCCATTTCCTAAAAATCCTAAAAAAATGACAGTGTGCCCTGACGGTACTTATAAGTCTACTTGTTAACATCGATCTAATACAAAGACAAGTTGATTAAAATCGTATAAATAGAAGTTAAACGCGTTTGCCTGACTATTGGAGAAGCCAATAAAAAATATTTGGGTAAAACAAAGGGAAATCAGGAACTTGTGTGAGAACGTTACAGAACAATTGTGAACTACCGATACAGCAAGACATTGAAATTAGCGCCACACCAAAAATTTTCAAAAAACATTGAACCTTTCAACTACCGGCGACTCAGGGGAGATAATACTATTAATTACATCAATAATTTTTAAAATTCGTATTAAATTAAAAATAATACAGGCACTTAATTAAAGTGGTACCGTCAGTAGATAAAGGGTTAATTAGCTATTACATTTAATATGGTATTGTGTTGACTTATACTGTATATAATTTGGTTTTAATTTTTCTAATAGGGTAGTGGTAGTCTATGCTATTTTAAACAAGTATAAACATAGACAGTACATAAAACAAAACCCTTCTTTTTCATAATCTTGACAATGTTTCATTCCAATGCTCTTGATCAATAAAATGTTTCTTTTCCTAAGTTTCCGTTAATGACTTTTAAAAGCTGAATTACAAATCATTTAATTACTCACTTTCCTTATATATATTTATATATATATATATATATTTATATATATATATATATATATACATTTTCTTCAGGTATCTCTACCGTTTCCTCCCCTTTCATCTCCGAACGAAATTGAAAAAAAAATGTCATAAAAATATAGAATATCCGCTACCCAACAACCCCTCTCCCCCCATGCACACACATCCTCCACAACCCTCCTCCCCCACGCACAACCCTCCTCCGGACAGATTTAAAATCCGCTCCCCGTAGATAAATATCTAAAACAAAAAAACGGGTAGCCTATTTGTAAAGAGAAGAGAGCTAAAAGTCACCAGAATTGCCTTTGTAACAGGTACTGATGGCTAGTATATAACTAGAGGCCTACTAAACACTATACCTATGCTTGTATGTATACTACTGTGTATAATGTCATTAGACTTATTTTTGACTAGGTAAAGTAGCATCCACATGTATGTTCCTCTTTTTGGATTCAAATTCCTCTTTTTAGGTATGATAGTTCCTACTTTTGGTTGACAGTGCTAGGCATGTCTGAATATCCCATATACCATCATTGTTTCTTTTGATGGCATCATAAGAATGTAAATCCCATATACCATGGTTGTTTCATTCCTATGCCATTATAAGCTCTTGTAATGTAAACTGAAGTTTTTCTGTGTCAAATGTTTGACCTAGGTGATGGCTCTGGCTGGGCAACGTGTCATACAAGTGGCCTGTGGCAGTCGCGATGCTCAAACTCTGGCCCTCACAGATGATGGTGTTGTCTACTCCTGGGGAGATGGAGACTTTGGCAAGCTTGGCCGTGGTGGAAGTGAAGGCTGTAATGTGCCCCACCCTGTAGAGAGGTTGACTGGACAAGGTGTCCTACAGATTGAATGTGGAGCGCAGTTCTCTCTGGCACTGACTAAACTAGGACAGGTCTGGACATGGTGAGAACTTTGACTGCTCTCTGGTGGTTCACAGGCAACACTAGAGGGGCATGGGCAGGCAACACTAGAGGGGCATGGGCAGGCAACACTAGAGGGGCATGGGCAGAGGGGCATGGGCAGGCAACACTAGAGGGGCATGGGCAGGCAATACTAGAGGGGCATGGGCAGGCAACACTAGAGGGGCATGGGCAGGCAACACTAGAGGGGCAATGTCAGGCAACACTAGAGGGGCATGGGCAGGCAACACTAGAGGGGCATGGGCAGGCAACACTAGAGGGGCATGGGCAGGCAACACTAGAGGGACATGGGCAGGCAACACTAGAGGGGCATGGGCAGGCAACACTAGAGGGGCATGGGCAGGCAACACTAGAGGGGCATGGGCAGGCAACACTAGAGGGACATGGGCAGGCAACACTAGAGGGGCATGGGCAGGCAACACTAGAGGGGCATGGGCAGAGGGGCATGGGCAGGCAACACTAGAGGGGCATGGGCAGGCAACACTAGAGGGGCATGGGCAGGCAACACTAGAGGGACATGGGCAGGCAACACTAGAGGGGCATTGTCAGGCAATACTACAGGGGCATGGGCAGAGGGGCATGGGCAGGCAACACTAGAGGGGCATGGGCAGGCAACACTAAAGGGGCAATGTCAGGCAACACTAGAGGGGCATGGGCAGGCAACACTAGAGGGGCATGGGCAGGCAACACTAGAGGGGCATGGGCAGGCAACACTAGAGGGGCAATGTCAGGCAACACTAGAGGGGCATGGGCAGGCAACACTAGAGGGGCAATGTCAGGCAACACTAGAGGGGCATGGGCAGGCAACACTAGAGGGGCATGGGCAGGCAACACTAGAGGGGCATGGGCAGGCAACACTAGAGGGGCATGGGCAGGCAACACTAGAGGGGCATGGGCAGAGGGGCATGGGCAGGCAACACTAGAGGGGCATGGGCAGGCAACACTAGAGGGGCATGGGCAGAGGGGCATGGGCAGGCAACACTAGAGGGGCATGGGCAGGCAACACTAGAGGGGCATGGGCAGAGGGGCATGGGCAGGCAACACTAGAGGGGCATGGGCAGGCAACACTAGAGGGGCATGGGCAGGCAACACTAGAGGGGCATGGGCAGAGGGGCATGGGCAGGCAACACTAGAGGGGCATTGTCACGCAATACTACAGGGGCATGGGCAGAGGGGCAATGTCAGGCAACACTAGAGGGGCATGGGCAGGCAACACTACAGGGGCATGGGCAGGCAACACTAGAGGGGCATGGGCAGGCAACACTAGAGGGGCATGGGCAGGCAACACTAGAGGGGCATGGGCAGGCAACACTAGAGGGGCATGGGCAGAGGGGCATGGGCAGGCAACACTAGAGGGGCATGGGCAGGCAATACTAGAGGGGCATGGGCAGGCAACACTAGAGGGGCATGGGCAGGCAACACTAGAGGGGCATGGGCAGGCAACACTAGAGGGACATGGGCAGAGGGGCATGGGCAGGCAACACTAGAGGGGCATGGGCAGGCAACACTAGAGGGACATGGGCAGGCAACACTAGAGGGGCATGGGCAGAGGGGCATGGGCAGGCAACACTAGAGGGGCATGGGCAGGCAACACTAGAGGGGCATGGGCAGGCAACACTAGAGGGGCATGGGCAGAGGGGCATGGGCAGGCAACACTAGAGGGGCATGGGCAGGCAACACTAGAGGGGCATGGGCAGGCAACACTAGAGGGGCATGGGCAGGCAACACTACAGGGGCATGGGCAGGCAACACTAGAGGGGCATGGGCAGGCAACACTAGAGGGGCATGGGCAGGCAACACTAGAGGGGCATGGGCAGGCAACACTAGAGGGGCATGGGCAGGCAACACTAGAGGGGCATGGGCAGAGGGGCATGGGCAGGCAACACTAGAGGGGCATGGGCAGGCAACACTAGAGGGGCATGGGCAGGCAACACTAGAGGGGCATGGGCAGGCAACACTAGAGGGGCATGGGCAGAGGGGCATTGGCAGGCAACACTAGAGGGGCATGGGCAGGCAACACTAGAGGGGCATGGGCAGAGGGGCATGGGCAGGCAACACTAGAGGGGCATGGGCAGGCAACACTAGAGGGGCATGGGCAGAGGGGCATGGGCAGGCAACACTAGAGGGGCATGGGCAGGCAACACTAGAGGGGCATGGGCAGGCAACACTAGAGGGGCATGGGCAGAGGGGCATGGGCAGGCAACACTAGAGGGGCATTGTCACGCAATACTACAGGGGCATGGGCAGAGGGGCAATGTCAGGCAACACTAGAGGGGCATGGGCAGGCAACACTACAGGGGCATGGGCAGGCAACACTAGAGGGGCATGGGCAGGCAACACTAGAGGGGCATGGGCAGGCAACACTAGAGGGGCATGGGCAGGCAACACTAGAGGGGCATGGGCAGAGGGGCATGGGCAGGCAACACTAGAGGGGCATGGGCAGGCAATACTAGAGGGGCATGGGCAGGCAACACTAGAGGGGCATGGGCAGGCAACACTAGAGGGGCATGGGCAGAGGGGCATGGGCAGGCAACACTAGAGGGGCATGGGCAGGCAATACTAGAGGGGCATGGGCAGGCAACACTAGAGGGGCATGGGCAGACAACACTAGAGGGGCATGGGCAGGCAACACTAGAGGGACATGGGCAGAGGGGCATGGGCAGGCAACACTAGAGGGGCATGGGCAGGCAACACTAGAGGGACATGGGCAGGCAACACTAGAGGGGCATGGGCAGAGGGGCATGGGCAGGCAACACTAGAGGGGCATGGGCAGGCAACACTAGAGGGGCATGGGCAGGCAACACTAGAGGGGCATGGGCAGAGGGGCATGGGCAGGCAACACTAGAGGGGCATGGGCAGGCAACACTAGAGGGACATGGGCAGGCAACACTAGAGGGGCATGGGCAGAGGGGCATGGGCAGGCAACACTAGAGGGGCATGGGCAGGCAACACTAGAGGGGCATGGGCAGGCAACACTAGAGGGGCATGGGCAGAGGGGCATGGGCAGGCAACACTAGAGGGGCATGGGCAGAGGGGCATGGGCAGGCAACACTAGAGGGGCATGGGCAGGCAATACTAGAGGGGCATGGGCAGGCAACACTAGAGGGGAATGGGCAGGCAACACTAGAGGGGCATGGGCAGGCAACACTAGAGGGACATGGGCAGAGGGGCATGGGCAGGCAACACTAGAGGGGCATGGGCAGGCAACACTAGAGGGACATGGGCAGGCAACACTAGAGGGGCATGGGCAGAGGGGCATGGGCAGGCAACACTAGAGGGGCATGGGCAGGCAACACTAGAGGGGCATGGGCAGGCAACACTAGAGGGGCATGGGCAGAGGGGCATGGGCAGGCAACACTAGAGGGGCATGGGCAGGCAACACTAGAGGGGCATGGGCAGGCAACACTAGAGGGGCATGGGCAGGCAACACTAGAGGGGCATGGGCAGGCAACACTAGAGGGGCATGGGCAGGCAACACTAGAGGGGCATGGGCAGGCAACACTACAGGGGCATGGGCAGGCAACACTAGAGGGGCATGGGCAGGCAACACTAGAGGGGCATGGGCAGGCAACACTAGAGGGGCATGTACAGGCAACACTAGAGGGGCATGGGCAGAGGGGCATGGGCAGGCAACACTAGAGGGGCATGGGCAGGCAATACTAGAGGGGCATGGGCAGGCAACACTAGAGGGGCATGGGCAGGCAACACTAGAGGGGCATGGGCAGGCAACACTAGAGGGACATGGGCAGGCAACACTAGAGGGGCATGGGCAGGCAACACTAGAGGGACATGGGCAGGCAACACTAGAGGGGCATGGGCAGAGGGGCATGGGCAGGCAACACTAGAGGGGCATGGGCAGGCAACACTAGAGGGGCATGGGCAGGCAACACTAGAGGGGCATGGGCAGAGGGGCATGGGCAGGCAACACTAGAGGGGCATGGGCAGGCAACACTAGAGGGGCATGGGCAGGCAACACTAGAGGGGCATGGGCAGGCAACACTACAGGGGCATGGGCAGGCAACACTAGAGGGGCATGGGCAGGCAACACTAGAGGGGCATGGGCAGGCAACACTAGAGGGGCATGGGCAGGCAACACTAGAGGGGCATGGGCAGAGGGGCATGGGCAGGCAACACTAGAGGGGCATGGGCAGGCAACACTAGAGGGGCATGGGCAGGCAACACTAGAGGGGCATGTACAGGCAACACTAGAGGGGCATGGGCAGAGGGGCATGGGCAGGCAACACTAGAGGGGCATGGGCAGGCAACACTAGAGGGGCATGGGCAGAGGGGCATGGGCAGGCAACACTAGAGGGGCATGGGCAGGCAACACGGGCATGGGCAGAGGGGCATGGGCAGGCAACACTAGAGGGGCATGGGCAGAGGGGCATGGGCAGGCAACACTAGAGGGGCATTGTCACGCAATACTACAGGGGCATGGGCAGAGGGGCAATGTCAGGCAACACTAGAGGGGCATGGGCAGGCAACACTACAGGGGCATGGGCAGGCAACACTAGAGGGGCATGGGCAGGCAACACTAGAGGGGCATGGGCAGGCAACACTAGAGGGGCATGGGCAGAGGGGCATGGGCAGGCAACACTAGAGGGGCATGGGCAGGCAATACTAGAGGGGCATGGGCAGGCAACACTAGAGGGGCATGGGCAGGCAACACTAGAGGGGCATGGGCAGGCAACACTAGAGGGACATGGGCAGAGGGGCATGGGCAGGCAACACTAGAGGGGCATGGGCAGGCAACACTAGAGGGACATGGGCAGGCAACACTAGAGGGGCATGGGCAGAGGGGCATGGGCAGGCAACACTAGAGGGGCATGGGCAGGCAACACTAGAGGGGCATGGGCAGGCAACACTAGAGGGGCATGGGCAGAGGGGCATGGGCAGGCAACACTAGAGGGGCATGGGCAGGCAACACTAGAGGGACATGGGCAGGCAACACTAGAGGGGCATGGGCAGAGGGGCATGGGCAGG